ACGGTCCCTGCTGTGTGGCAGTGAACCAAGATGTTTTGACCACTGACAGTTATCATTTATTTTCATGTCAGCCTATTGCTCGTGTAAATTCCATCCACGTGTGCGTGTGCCACGAAAGGCTGCACGTGCTGACGAGCACAGTCAAAAGAGCCAATCATTGAGCGGCGATCTAATATCGACCTGAAGAAATGTCGATATTTATGCGCAAATGATTTTTTATTATTCATGAAGATGCGCTGACATTGTTTCAAGATAAACAGTCAGATTTGTTCTGAACCAGAAGCCAAGATACAGAAAGACGCTATCATTTCATGATGTCCTAAGAATGAAATTCTTGTCCTTTCTCTTTAAGTACATGTTTTGTTTGTGTGTTTGCTGTTCAACGCCGCACACAGCAATATTCCAGCTATATGATGTTGTCAATCTTACACAGAGCGTCTTTCACTGTGGTAAACTGGCTCCATGTTGGTTGGTATGGTAGCAATTTCCTGGACGCGAGTTTCTTGCCGCAAAGAACAGTATATATGCTTCAATAAATAATAGATTTAGTTACAATGAAAACATTTACATTGCATGTAATGCCATATATATGCGCACGCCCAAACATTTTTATAACACGATTCCGCCTTGATAAAATATTCTAATCTAATCTAAATCTAATAAAAACATAATCGTTTGCTGGATACGTTCTTACCTACGAGATACTGGTTAACGCCGCCCGAACTGAAGCAGGTCTAGACTTGTACCACTTGAGCCATGAGCCTGGGTTGGTTGGTTTGTTGTTTAACGCCGCACTCAGCAATATTCCACCTATACGACGGTGGTCTGTAAATAATTGAGTCTGGACCAGACAATCCAGTGATTAATATCATGAGAATCGAGCCACGCAATTGGGATCGATGACATGCATCAACGAAGTCAGCAAGCCTGACCACCCGATCCCGTTAGTCGCCTCTAACGACAAGCACAGTCGCCTTTTACAGCAAGCATGGGTTGCTGAAGACCTATTCTACCCCAGATCTTCACGGGTCCCATGAGCATGGGTATGAAACTGGCAAACATAGAACACACAATCATGGCGAATCATTGATTTGAACCCATGAACACAGGCTTCTGGTACGCCTAAGGGACGCAACTCTGCATGTCTCACTGCTACATGCATATCATCGCAGTTTTGCTGAAACTTCATGCACTATAGATTCCATGAAGTATATGGTATTGGCCCTATTATAAATATATTTCACGGGCGGATATTCAGAGAGGACGAGCATGTGTGAATTCATTACTGTCATGTTGATTCAAGACCAACACGTTCTTTAGTTCACTAACTTATGATTCCTAGTTTTACCCGTAGATTACTCCAACATGGCGGCCATAAGCTCAGTCACGCAGCACGTCTTGGACAAGGGGAGGCAACCCCCAACGCAGAGGCGTCGCTTACATTACAATTACGGTTGAATTTGGGTCGGGTGAATTCGCGCGAGGGATGTTTATAGGGCCCGATCAACCCATCCCTTCATATTTGGATATTTAAAAAGTACATTTGTCGATGAATGCACATTGCAACAAGGCAATTTGACGGGAGTTGGTATTTAGAATAACTGAAGAATCAAAATAAGTAACACATAGATTACTGTAGTATTAGTCTCTTAGACCGACACGGGACCGACACGGGAACGAAAACATCCGAAAACTATAAAGCAAGTCTATAATATGTTTGCAAGTTAATATTTCTCCATTGTCTTAAAATGAAGCTTTCCCCTTGTCGTAGGAGGCGACTAACGGGATCGGGTGGTGAGGCTCGCTGACTTGGTTGATGCATGTCATCGTATCCCAATTGCGTGGATCCATGCTCATGATGTCAGTCACTGGATTGTCTGGTCCAGACTCGATTACTGAGTGCGGCGTTAAACAACAAACAAACGACAAAGCTATTACATGATATAAAAAAATCAAACGGGGAAAATTGTTTAAAAAAAATCATTTGAGACTGAAGGTGAGTCTATGTTAGTCTCTACAAGGAACCTTGCACGTCAAGATTCACATGTCAGTGGGCCTTTTCCAGGCGTATTTCAGGCACAGTTTCTGCGTCGTTGGATATAATCCTGCACCAGCTTGGAGTGTCTGTGATAACCATCATTAGTGTATCCTGGTTATTCCTGAATGTTCAGATAAATTGTGAAAATATTTTCTTAAGATAGCATTAGGAACGAACGGGTCGGTGATCGTACCCTGACCCCAATCGCCGCAGGATCTCCGGTATGCTGACCTTCAAGTGACCTTGAAACCCCCGTGGCCCTGAGACATTAACGAACCGTGACGTCTCCCGACTTGTTCGCAAAATGTGAGTTTCTCTTGTTTCGGCCCGAAATGGTTCTTTTGTAAAACGTTTCTCAAACACAAAACGCACTAAAGGTGTATGTGACCTTGGACACTACGAAGAATACATGGCAACCGCTAAGACCGCATTCATAACGTAGAACCAGTCAAACTGAGACACTCTTCTCTCATATTATTTCTGAATGTCAAATTTCAAAATGATACATGTACATCCAAAAATGCCTACGTAATGCGCAAACACTTCTGTCAGCAAATTTCAGAGACATCCTTGGTAAGATCGTATACAAAAACTTCTAGCCACGTATATATTCAGAGGAGATATAGAAAATGCAGTCAATCTAGACACACAGGATCACGTTTGGGACCAGTGTCAGAGCAGGGTAGAAGCGTAATATACGCCCCCAAAACGCACGAAAAGTGTTGCCCAGTATATATACCACAAACGCACTGCATATCAGATGTAACGCTTTGTTGAAGTTCAGCACGAGAAAACTGGAAAAGTTATTTTATTTAGATTAGAGATTAACATCGACCAAATACAGGTCATTTTAGTGAACGTCGTGCATATTCATGGCCCAAACCGCCTCGAAGGGTGCTTTGGTCCATAAATATGCATACGTTTCGCTAAAAGGTCCTGTGAACCATTTGAAAATTAGAAATGTTTGTCTTCGAAAACAATTGCACGTTTAAAGGACGCAGTAACAACTGTTTGTAATCGGCGGAACTACAAACCTCCTTCGTGCATGTGGCCTGTGAAGATCCGGGGTAGAATAGGTCTTCAGCAACCTATTCTTGTCGTAAAAACCGCCTATGCTTGTCGTAAGAGGCAACCAACCGGGTCGGGTGGTCAGGCTCGCTGATTATGACCGTTGGTGGTTGATGATGCATGTCGTCGTATCCCAAATGCGTGGATCCATGCTCATGATGTCAATCACTGGATTGTCTGGTCCGGACTCGATTATTTACAGACCGCCGTCATAGAGCTGGAATAGTGCTAAGTGCTGCGTTAAACAACCAACAAACACGCACACCTCCGTGTGTCTTTTAATGTGACTAACAGGATCGGGTGTTGTCATGAGGTCATTCATTGCTTTGTCTGGTCCGGACTCGATTATTTACAGACCGCCGTCATATGTATAGCTGGAATGTTGCCGAGTGCGGCGTCAAACAACAAACAAACAAACCTTTCTTGTGAATTGTACAACTCTTATAAAGGTTAACGCTCTTTTCTCTGTTTGTTGTTTAACGCCGCACTCAGCAATATCCATGCTATATGACGGTGGTCTGTAAATAATCGAGTCTTGACCAGACAATCCAGTGATTGACATCATGAGCATTGATCCACGCAATTGGGACCGATGACATGCATCAACCAAGTCAGCGAGCCTGACCACCCGATCCCGTTAGTCGCCTTTTACGACAAGCAGAGTCACCTTTTAAGGCAAGCATGGGTTTCTGAAGACCTATTCTACCCCGGATCTTCACGGGTTAAACACTCTTTAGAATTACACACAACATGGAACTGAATATGCACATTACACACAACATGGAACTGAATATGCACATCTAAAAAGACCACTGGGACATATTCCTGAAAAAAAGGTAGCTACTCTTATTTATATTCTTCTTGCATGGTGTTTCTGTGACCAACTTTCACACGCGTTGGTATATGAAATGTGCATTAACGCCAAATATATGTAGATCAAAACACATTTACTGTGTATATCCGCGCGTAGACTTTGGACACGCAGATTGCATCCCATGTGTTAGCAGGTATCTTAAATGCTCACATATGTTTCTTGTTTGTTTGTTGTTAAACGCCCCATGTCAGCAATATTCCAGCTACGCTACGGCGGGCTCACATATGGAAATAGGTCCATCCATCTAGCCTGCCTGTGGGCGGTGGGGTAGCCTAGTGGTTAAAGCGTTCGCTCCTCACGCCGAAAACAGGAGTTCGATTTCCAAGATGGGTACAAGGTGTGAAGCCCATGTATTGTGTCCCCCGCCGTGATATTGCCGGAATATTGCTAAAAGCGGTGTCCCCCGCAAGTATTATTTCAGAAAAACAATGAAAAAATGTATTTAAAAGGGCCAAAATGTATGACTTGACCGATACATTTGGGTATTATCGATAGTATCGAACTATTTGACCTGATTGCGAGAGACATCATTCATGGACCAGCCCGGCCAATTAATCAAGATTCGTGATATGTTTCATTAATGAAGGACAAACTTGATTAATTATTTTTTTAGTTAAGAATGTCGTGTACACGAATCTGTCATATTTCTTTACTGCATTCCTAATCAGGAATCACCCATGGTGCAAACCACTTCTGGTGTAATGGAGGGCTGTTGAATGTTTGCACCGACTGGGTATGGAACACAAGTCGTTCATTATAGAAATATTGATTCTGACCATCGATGTACCTTTGCTATTAACAATCCTGACGAGCACAATCAGTTCGTGATTCGAGATTGAATCACTTGCCCGAGTCTTGTAAAGTCGGTGTGTGTTTCAGTTAATGCGTACTGACTTGCCCTGGTACGGAAGTGTGGCTTATATAATTTCCTATGTTGTCTCGTAACAATGACGCAATTCCCACGAACATGTTCGTGGCGATCGAGGGAGGGCCTCGGTCAATAGGTTAAAATAATGCACTCCATTGCGTGTGGTGTACTCTTTGACAAGCATTCTGCCAATAGGCGCAATTATGTCTGAAGACAGAATGAATCTGAGTTGTGATTGTTGCTGGGTACGTATTAATAATTCATATTTCCAATGCTGGTGATTTTGAGCAGCTGGTGCTGATAAGTATGATGGAGGACTGACGTATTTTCACAATTATTTTATCATTTTACGGTCGAATGTTCAGTGTTTCGAAATTTATTGCTTGTCACCGGGATTATAGAACTTTTCTTCCCGCTCTTCAATCAAAATCGATCAAACGTGGTACAAAACGCTCACAAATCATGTTTTACACGTGCGGTGGGGGTTTCATCAAACGATTGAAACGCACGTAAAATATTCCCTATTACCCCGACAACGACCATTCACACATTCGTAATGCCCAGTGCATCTTGTGCAGAGTTCGTTTGAGGATTCAGAGTGACCAAACCTTTAATGTGCGTCGTCCCTTTAGCATGTGTTGTGACAACGCATTTACAGGGTTGCCGCGCACATATTTCAAGTACCCGGTAACACGAATACGTGACCCGTGAAGATTCCGGGGTAGAATAGGCCTTCAGCAACCCATGCTGGCCGTAAAAGGTGACTCTGCTTGTCGTAAAAGGCGACAAAAGGGATCGGGTGGTCAGGCTCACTGACTTGGTTGATGCATGTCATCGATCGCAATTGCGTGGATCGATGCGCATGGTATTAATCACTGGATTGTCTGGTCCAGACTCGATTATTTACAGACCGCCGTCATATAGCTGGGATATTGCTGAGTGTGGCGTTAAACAACAAACCAACCAACCAACATGAATACGTGCCACTTTTTTTAATGGATAGCAACTTCTTTCAGAGCTACTCCTTGCTCTATTAGGTTAATGCATTCACCTGATGACGGAGAAAGAAGAAGCTCTGAAACCTCGTACAAAGAATAAAAGAAGTTGCTGCTAACCCCCACCCACCCCACACAAACAGTCATGTATTCATGTTCTCCCCTCTTCTAGATTCTCCACTTCTGAGAGGAGTATTTTATATCTTTCCGTGAGAGAAAAAAATGATTCTGATATGTCATGTGTATATTTAAATATAACGACTTATCGGATAATCCCTATCAAAAGTTGAGCAGTATAGCTTAGCGTGAAAACTATACATATTCATGTATAAAATATGTATTTACAGAATGTACCTTGTATTGTGTTTCTGAGGAAATTCATTTGTTTTTGTTCACAATGTGACTCATATTGAAATACAGAAACCGAAGTCAATTGCCTAATATGTTTTGGTTACCATGGCTACAGTTATTTGTGTACCCTTCCTCTGTTTGATGGCAGAACCTGTGTCCATCCACACTAACATACAACATTCCCTTGCCAATTTTTCATCAAGTATTCGTGGGACCTTAGACATGTGATAAAATGAGATCAATGTCATGTTTAAATATTCCCAAAAGTTTCATGGAAGTTCAGGATATATGAAAATATAGGATGGGTGTAAATAGTCAAGTAAGTCAACAGCTAACTACAGGAGAGGTGGTTAGACTAGTGCAATGCCATTGGCATGGTTCCCTGTGTGAAGCCCATTCAAGGAGACCTCGATTCTGTTAAGCCTGGAATTATGCTAAAAGTGACACAAACCATACTCACTCACTCACAAGTAATCATTGTCATGGAAACGAGCACAGAAACATGTACCGTTACAACTAATCAATATTTTTGTTGATTTTGCAAAGGGCAAAAATACAAAGGTTTATAAGGGAAAGATATCCCTTTCTTGTCTTGCAAGAAATATTACCATTAAACATAACACTTGTTTTCAATTCAGTGAGCCCATATAGAATCAAATACCAAATGAAGCACCATGTAAAATTGGTAATAATGTATAAAAATATTATCTGTTAACAATCATTCTTTTGAGAACAATGTAATTAAGTGTAAACAATGTATTTTGGATGAATGCAAAAATTCTCTTGAACATTATATGATATCTATTTCAACGATAGTAATATCAAGCAAAGCAACAAATACTTCATCATATTTCTTTTATTCCTGAGACTAACTAAAAAAATGTTTATTTTGTCTACAGTTTAGACCCATGAAGATCTGGGTCAGAACCGGTCTTCAGGAACCCCTGATTGTCTGTGGTAAAAGGTGATAAATGGAATTGGGTGGTCAAGTTCGCTGACTTGGTTGATACATGTTATGATGTCCCAATTGTATAGATCGATGCTCATCATGTCAATCACTGAACTGGCTGGTCAACATTCGATTATTTACAGACCACTGTCATATAGCGCGAATATTGCTAAGCATGGTGTTAATATACAGTTTGAGCAAATATTTTATTCCTCTTCTGTCAATCCCCAAATCAAATCTCCAAGTCATTCATTCACATCGTACATCACCATGATTGTCACATTTATCACCTCTCCCATGGTTTGGGTTTCCTGCCCATGACAGATGGTGAAGGATCTGCATCTGTGGGCTTCACGTCCACTGTCTTAAGGCCTGGGATTGTCTTCCCACTCTGGATAAAGTCAATCACTTCGCTGAACGTCAGTGTTCCTGATTCAGAGACAGTGTTCTTGTCTGAGTCCTCAGTGTTGGCAGCAGGGCTGCAGGAGTTGCCTCCCTTATCCTCCAACTGCTGGACCTGTGGTGTTGCCACACCTGTCTTAGCTGGAGAAAGAAGGATTAAATAGGATTAGCATGTGCCTGTGGCAAAATAAACCTCTCAAAGCCAACAACCTCAGCTGAAAGAAGTCTTTGAAAAATATTTAAACAAAAATCAATCCTGGGCGGCATATGTTTTGACATAAGAGCGATATCAGTTACTCAGATTATGTGACAATAAGAGGTTCACAGGATGATACAAGCTGACTGGACTTGACACATAGTTGTGCATCAGAGACCGAAGGTCAAGGGGTGTTTATGAACGTTGTTCAATCCTACACCTTGACATGATAGACGCAATCTCATTAAAATCAGATCTTTGTTCTCGCTATCACTAAACAAAGATCTGAGGACATCCCATTATGGGTCACGTCAGATGGACCTTTCATCCAACCAATCAGAGCGTCGCTTACCAGATCATGAAAGTGAAAGTCGGAATATGTCATGCAACCATGAAATATTTAACACGTGTTATTCCGAACGACAGTTACAGGTTTTATGATTATATCCATACAATCTAGGCCATCTATAAGCCATTCAAGAATTTCTTCTTATCACTTTTAATTTTTTTAATCGAGAATGCATCAAAATATGTTTCGTGAAAGTGAAAGTTGGAATATGTCATGCAACCATGAAATATTTAACACGTGTTATTCCGAACGACAGTTACAGGTTTTATGATTATATCCATACAATCTAGGCCATCTATAAGCCATTCCAGAATTTCTTCTTATCACTTTTAATTTTTTTAATCGAGAATGCATCAAAATATGTTTCGAAGCGTAGTTGCCAGTTTGAAACTAGTGTCGTAAAGCTTGAGAAAACTGCCTTCTGATTGGCTTATGTCGATTTCTTGTCAGTCATTTCATTGGTCGGTCAAAATTCGTGAAAGGTCGTTTTGACGTGACCCGTAATGGGATGTCCTTAGATCTTTGTTTAGCGGTAGCAAAAACCTTAGATCTGATTTTAATGAGATTGATATGGACACAACTAATAAGCTTATAATCATGACTTCACAGTTTCAAAGAACATGTTTCCATATGATCCATCTTGTATGCGAGAGTTGAAGTAACATGGCACGAATGTGACTGCACATCAAGTATTATATGACCACGTCCATACCCGAGTGCTAGTCAATGTCATTAATCCCATGCAAGTCGGATAACTAAATTGTGTCATGATAAAGTTCTTAGAATAATTTCTTGTCCTTTCTCTTTAAGAACATGTTTTGCTTATTTGTTTGTTGTTTAACGCCGCACTCAGCAATATTCCAGCTATATTATGGCAGTCTGTAAATAATCGAGTCTAGACCAGACAATCCACTGATTGAAACACGATATTTATCCACGCAATTTAGATACGATGACATGCATCAACAAAGTCATCGAGCCTGACAACCCGATCCTGTTCGTCGCCTCTTACGACAAGCATAGTCGCCTTTTACGGCAAGCATGGGTTGCTGAAGGCCTATTCTACCCCGGATCTTTAAAAAACATGTAAAATGATAGCAGATAATTAGTTGGTTTGATGACTTTGATCCATAGAACATGTACTGCACGTGAACCCTGTTGCAACTTACTATGAGCATAACAGTTCTACTTATACCATATTCGCCCTAATAAGCTCCCTAAACGTTTAGAAAATTGATAAAGCGGGTGCTTTCTAAAACCATCACTCGTTAAATTTGTCAAGGTTTGAGCAATAGTGAACAAATTTAGTTCAAACATCAATAAAACTAAAACATTTTTGATAGTTACAGACAGTTATATCCCTCTTCTACACAGCTGTTTTCTGCAAGAAATCTGTGTATCTTCGCGTACTGTGTTTTCGAGCCCCTAAGAGTGAGTGAGTTGAGTGAGTATGGTTTTACGCCGCTTTTAGCAATATTCCAGCAATATCATGGCAGGGGACACCAGAAATGGGCTTCACACATTGTAACCATGTCGGGAATCGAACCCGGGTCTTCGGTGTGACGAGCGAACGCTTTAACCAATAAGCTACCTGACCGCCCCTCGAGCCCCTAAGAAGAACTTATTATTATGTGTGTTATAACAATCACAATGCACTACAATTAAGTCTTAACTTTGAGAACATTTATATCTGTGTACAATTGAAAACACACGTGACCACATCTTGTCAATTTAATTGTGATAATGCCTTGCCAAATAAGACGAGTCAATGAGGCGCCATCTTGTTACTGTCACCTGATCTCTAGCCCCTCAATTAAAGTCAAGTTACAAATAGATGCACAACATAATCAGTCACATGACATTACAGATAGGAAGTTTACAAACAGCAGCCGATACATCATCGGTGCATACGATTGTTCTGATGCAAACGTATCATCAGATCAAGTTTGATCAAAACGTGAATTTGTGAAAAAGGCAGTTTTGAGGTATGTTTGCATTACTTATTGAATATCTTACCTTGTGTAGCTTAATTTGTAATATAACTACACTGCCAAGTGGTGAACACTTTGATGTCTTCATTGGGCTTTGAAGGATCTACCTTGATTACGTCACTTTGGGCATCAATACTTATTGTTTAGGGGCTCGAAAACGTGTTCCGTGGGTTTTTTTTGGGAAAAATATGGACTGCAAATGTATGGTCATAGTAGGCGCTTACAAAGACCATACTGACAAACTAGTCTTGAGGCTGGTCACTTATTTGAGCAGGGTGCATAATCTGGCAAATATGGTAAGTTAATCTTTTCAGCAACTTAAAGACAACAAGTTTACTCAACCTTTTACTTCAGTCTGGTTTAAAGGGTTTTCTTTCCACTTCATGTATTCCTCAATGTCGACAGCTTCAATGTGCCTGAAAGTACAAAATGTTTTACAGTCTGATTATGATAATGCAGGATAAAACTAATTTTTTTGGGGGAAAGAGATATTATTTTTAAGTGGTTTATACAAGTTATTTGACAATCCATTGAACTTTCAAAATATCCCTTATTTTTAACTTCCAAAGTATATTAGTATTTTAATTATCTTCTTTGATGATTTGTAATTGGTAGGGTTTTAAGTGGTTTTGTTTGTTAAGGCAGTATTTGAACTTGATGGTATTGCATCATCAATCACTTCAATCATTGGTCATACATGTGCTTGTATTTGGTTTGTTCCTACCAATCACTCATTAAATATTATCAGCCCAAATACTACGTGAACTTTCCAGAAATTCCATTTCAAAGTCTTACATTTTAAAAGAAAATTGTTTGCATATTCTACCATGTATTTATCTTTGATAATGTATGATTGTTTTCAGATTCAATTAATCTTTGAACAAGAGAGCAAAATTTCTGATGTAAAGATATTTTTGTCAACAATAAATTATGAACACCTGTACCGATCATTGCATTTTGTTGGTGAACCGACTAATTGATTATAACCATCATGATAACCGATCGTCAGAATATCACTAAAAGAATGATTGTCAGGCTCACTGCACATGCAGGGCTTGAAGTAAACTTGTCAGCTTCCTCACAGGGTTAACCTCTGGTTTGAATTCCATCACAGGACTAAGACATTTAATGACCAGTTGTGTTACGGTAATTCTTTTGGGTGTTTGCAGTATATGACCCCGGTGACTGCATGTCATCGCACCCTGTCAACTTGGATCATGTGCATGATGTGGATTGTTGTTCATAGTATCAATCCCTGGTTCACAGGGTCCAGATTTGCTGAATTAGGATTACAGTCTACTACTTTGACAGCATATATAGGTATCTGGGGCATATTAATTTGTCGATTCTGAGAACCCAAATGACAGATGACTAACATATAATTTCCATTTGTATCATGGTTATTGACAGTTTACCAAGCCAAATTGACTAGCGCTATTTATATATATTATATGATAACATGTATAAAGGTGTTGAATTCCTGGTTCTCTCTAGCACATATCTACCATGTGTATTGGTCATCATATGAGTCTCATTGATTGTTTTGTAAGTTTCGATTCTCATAGGGGCGGTCGGTTAGCGTAGTGGTTAAAGCGTTCGCTTGTCACGCCGAAGACCCGGGTTCGATTCCCGACATGGGTACAATGTGTGAAGCCCATTTCTGGTGTCTCCCGCCGTGATATTGCTGGAATATTGCTAAAAGCGGCGTAAAACCATACTCACTCACTCGATTCTCATAAACTGGTTCTATTGAATGGATCTGTACACTCACATATGGAAAAGGGATATGTTAATAATTTTCAAGAACCAATTAAAGATTTACACATGGACAGAGGTGGAATTTTCCTTATACATAGCTAACATCATCTTACTTCGAATAATAGAAAAGTTTTGCTCTGAGGTAGTGTTTGTCTCGCTCAACCGATGGCACAACACTTGACAGTGTCTTCCATCCCGACTGGAACTGATCGTCATTATCAAACTCATAGTCTTGAAACTTCAGATATCTCAACTTTCTCTCGATGTCCGCCACGCTGTCTCTCCTTGAATCTTTGGTGCTTATATCCTTTTTTGCAGATTCAAAGCCTGATTCAGCTTCGTGGGTTGTTAGGTTTCCGCCAACTCCGTCAGTGAAATCACCGCTGCTACTGCTAGCACTTGCAGGCTTTTCTGATTTTCTAGAATTCCGACTATTGTCAGTTTGATCGGGCGGGCTGTCTTTCAGTGTCGATGGATGTTCGCTCGCCATCTTCTATTCATTTGCGCTGGGTTTGTTCGTATATTGCTCAGTTATAAGGGTGGGAAAATGGTCATGACCACCAATTCCTATTTTCCACTTCTCATGTGGGGATACGAGCAAAGTCCATTTTCAAACCCGGAAGTGACATGACAATGATATTTAGCCAATAAAAACGGTGCTCTTAAACTCACGTGTACTTTTGGCCAATCAAATTAATTGTAAGCGCGGTCGTCCTTTCCATTCTTTACACGTGGGTTTGTTTTTGTTTACACCGGAACTAGGGTCATAGTCTTCACTTCCTGATTCAAGGTGATCAAAGTCTTGGGTGCTCTGATCAGATGGAAAAATGGCTTTATTCGAGGTGAACATACCTTTTTCGATCGCGATCGTCTAAGTAGTTGACATGGCCCGCTTCTATATATAAACTCTGATTTTAAAGTTGTGAAGAACTGAAACCATCAACGGATCAACTGACTGACGAAGCCGACGAGCGCCGCGATGGCGTCCGACGGTTGTCTGGACCGTCGGCCCCCAAACATGGTTTAATTAAGACTCCAAGCCGGCTCTCTGCCACTAGCGAAGCTGCTGGTAGTTGCTACTGATCTGTTTACACGTTTAACATTTGGTCTGGCTTTAATGCTTGCGTGGTTGTGACTGTGAGAGTGAATAACAACATGAACTCCCCAAAATATGAATATGCTTGAAGTGTTGTCATAGCGACCAATTCATGACACTGACACCAAATCGGCACAATGTATTAAATATTTTATCTATAATCAACTGTGTCCATGATAAACGTAAATAAATCTAACAATAAAACAGCATCCTAAGAAGTAGGTTAGTTATGTATGACACATGAAGATAAAATAACCAACCCTAAACCTAGCTGTGAAGATCTAGGTTGTCTTTGAACAGCATCCCATGCTTGCCGTAAAGGGCGACTGACTACGCTTGTCGTAAGAGGCAACTAATGGAATCAGGTGGTCAGGCTCGCTGACTTGGTTGATGCATGTCATCGTATCCCAGTTGTGTGGGTCGATGCTCATGATGTCAATCACTGGACTGTCAGGTTCAGACTCAATTATTTACAGACCACCATTATATGGCTGAAATATTTCTGAGTGTGGCGTTAAACAAGAAACAAAACAAACAACCCTAAACCATTGATTTATTTTTGTCTCAATATTGTCACAGAAGTGAGTCCTAGAAGTGTACTATTCATGCTACTGGTAGTTGTAGTGTCACTGATATAACTTGTGTTACAGCTGAAACCATGGGCGTTCTATGCGGAGGGCAGCACCAGATTCTGGGTCCACTATGGCCTGGTCATATTTGGGTTTGTGTTGGCAGGCATCACAGCCTGTGTCCAGTGCTGTAAACCTGCTCCCTATGGCAGGCATGAGGGTGAGGTGAGTCTCGTGGTACCAGGTCGGTATCTCGGTAGTTTTGAATCCCTAAGGATATTTAACAACCGGGTTGTTACGCATTCCTGAGTGCTTTTTATCCTTTATTCCTTCATAAAACAATGTTCATTTCTTAGTATAAGGGGGGGGGGGGGCACGGGTGGCCCAGTCGTCTAAGGCGCCGCGATTCGCTGTGCAGAGTTGCGTCCCTTGGGCACGCCAGAAACCTATGATTGTGGGTTCGAATCCCGGTTCGCCCCGATCATGTTTCTAGGTTTGTCAGCACCATACCCGTGCTTGTGGGTTTCACCAAAGTGGTAAACGTCTGAGACCTGCATCACTTCGGGCTTTCCTCCCACATTAAGCTGACACAACATAATATAACTTGAATACTGTTAATAGCGGCGTTAAACCAAACTCACCCACTCACTCACTCACTAGTATAAGGCTTTCTCGAAAGTCAAGAATTTCCATTAGCACCAGACAATGTGACCTGATTAGTTACAGTTTTAGTGTAAAAACCACACACACACACACACACACACACACACACACACACACACACACACACACACACACACACACACACACACACACACACACACACACACACACACCAGCTTAAACAAACATGATGGGGATTACCACTTGAGCATCAATCCACTCAATTAGGATACGATGACATGCATCAATGAAGTCAGCGAGCCTGACCACCCAATCCCATTGGTCGCCTCTTACGACAAGCATAGTCGCCTTTTTACAGCAAGCATGGGTTGCTGAAGACATATTCTACCCTGGATCTTCACGGGTCTACTTTTTATAGGACAATTGATATTTGCAAAAAAATCGCAAACATATTTTAAATGCTGGAAGATAAGAATAAGAGAAAAGTATTTCATGAAAACAAATGTATTTGTTTCTTTTACACACACGACATAACAGCCCAATCATCTACCCCCCAACCACACACATAAAATGTGAACCCCACTAACAAATAGTGAATAATTCCAATTTCCTCAACACTCAAACCTGTAACAAATACTGGATCAGCCTCTACTGTTGATTATTGTTGTTTTCATGTGCACGTATAGTTACAAAATTACATACAGTATGCTGGTATATTTATTCCAGGATGGAGGATTGGTTCCCAAGATTCCTCTGCGTCTGAGTCACATGATGTCGGATGCGTTGCCTGGTGTTGTCATGTTTTTGTTGGTGAGTCAGTGTACAGGTACAGATGAGAACACAGTTCGCTCATCACAGCTGCGTCCATTGGCAGCCAGGTTTGTGCATGTCGTGGGTTAGAATCTGATTATGATCCCTGGTATGCCAGTACTGGGAATCTGATTATAATCCTTGGTATGCCAGTACCGGGAATCTGATTATAATCCTTGGTATGCCAGTACCAGGAATCTGATTATAATCCTTGGTATGCCAGTACTGGGAATCTGATTATAATCCATGGTATGCCAGTACCAGGAATCTGATTATAATCCTTGGTATGCCAGTACTGGGAATCTGATTATAATCCATGGTATGCCAGTACCAGGAATCTGATTATAATTCATGGTATGCCAGTACTGGGAATCTGATTATAATCCATGGTATGCCAATACCGGGAATCTGATTATAATCCATGGTATGCCAACACTGATTATCTGATTTTCGTCCATGGTATGTCAATACTAAGAATATGATTATGATCCATGGTATGCCAATACTGATTATCTGATTATGATCCCTGGTATGCCAATACCTAGAATCTGATTATAATCCATGGTATGCCAAAACCGAGAATCTGATTATGATCCATGGTATGCCAATACTGATAATCTGATTATGATCCATGGTATGCCAATACCTAGAATCTGATTATAATCCATGGTATGCCAAAACCGAGAATCTGATTATGATCCATGGTATGCTAATACAATATCTGTGGAAAATATCCATGACCTGAGTCAGTCTCTCCTCCCACATGAAGCAGAAACACTGTGATAGTGGTCAAGCAGCAATAAACCCTATTCACTCACTCACTCACCTATGTGTACGTAAGGAACGTCTCAAACACTTAGCCTTTGGTGCTCATGTTTTCAGATTCTGGTGTGCCTGGTCCAGACTCAAGTAGTTGATGTTAAACAGCATTATTGTGATAGAGGAGTCATGTTATTACTGCTGATTGTAGTTTGTTTGTTTGTTTGTTGTTTAACGTCGCACTCAGCAATATTCCAGCTATATGACGGCGGTCTGTAAAATAATCGAGTCTGGACCAGACAATCCAGTGATTGACATCATGAGCATCGATCCACGCAATTGGGATCGATGACATGTATCAACCAAGTCAGCGAGCCTGACCACCCGATTTCCGTTAGTCGCCTCTTACAACAAGCATAGTCGCCTTTTACGGCAAGCATGGGTTGCTGAAGACCTATTCTACCCCGGAATCTTCACGGGTGGCTGATGGTAGTCCTCAGTCTGCTGGCTATTTTGTCCTGATGTTGAGGCATGTTCTGCTTGTGTTGCAGGTGTTCTTCCTGTATGGTTCTGTGAGGTCCTACCAGAACTACGTGTTCCTGGTGCTGTTCCTGCTTCACTATGTCCACAGGTACGCCAGCACAATCGTCACGGTGTTGACATGCGTCGCCACTTGAAATATAATCACGAAAAATCTCGACGATTAATTAACATGTGCTAATACTTATTAAGTGTAAACAAGACATTCCGCTGATAACGAATATTACTTTCAGTGACGACAAAAATTGTAAAGTGCGCTTTTCGACCAATGTCCATTTTATTAGTGATATACTTCACCATTGAGTTTTTATCACGTGGTTACAATCTTACTGAGGATGGGAGGGGCGGTCGGGTAGCCTAGTGGTTAAAGTGTTCGCTCGTCACGCCGAAGGCCCGGGTTCGATTCCCGACATGGGTACAATGTGTGAAGCTCATTTCTGGTGTCCCCCGCCGTGATATTGCTGGAATATTGCTAAAAGCGGCGTAAAAACATACTCACTCACTCACTCACTCACTCACTGAGGATGGACAGTCAGGAAAACGACTATATTTAGCAGCATGTGCAGCTTACCTCCATTACAAACGCAAGCTGAAAGAAAACATGTGCAGATAAGTTTTAGAGCGCTATTTACCAAGGTCACTGCTAAAAATGACTGCTGACAGTCACCTGACTATCAATTTTACCCAGATTGTAACCAATGGTCAAAACTCCTTAAAACTCAGTGATGATGTGAAGGGGGGAACATACAGATACTCAGCAGAGCATGGGACACACAGTCTAGATGCGGGTCTGGGTACATGTAGGTTTGTTGTTTAACGCCACACTTAGTGATATTCTTGATCAGACAATCAAGTGATTGACATTATGAGCATGGGTCTACGCATTGCGGATACCATGACATGCATCAACCAAGTCAAAAAGCCTGACCAGCCGATTCTGTTAGTTGCCTCTTACGACAAACATGGGTTGCCGAAGACCCAGATCTTCACAGATCACATACAAGTACTCTTGCAGTGAATGGGCCACATGGCGATCTAGGTGGGCATTGACACATACAAGTACTATTCATTCTGCAACACTTGTCATGACTGTGTGACTAACGCATTGTTTTGAATGGTTGGTTAGGAATTCTATCTCAACAAGAAGGTACACGTGGGTAGAAATGTCTTTATGTAGCAGGCATTGGAAAGTGGTTTCAGAAACTAAATTTTATTACTTGAAGTTTTTGATGGGTTTTCATGACAACTGTTAACAGATTTAATATTTATTTGTATGTTTATTTGTTGTTTAACGCTGCAATATTCAAGCTATATGATGGCGGTCTGTAAATAATCGAGTCTGGACCAGACAATCCAGTGATTGACATCATGAGCATCCATCCACACAATTGGGATACGATGACATGTATCAACCAAGTCAGCGAGCCTGACCACCCGATGCCCTTAGTCGCCTCTTACGACAAGCCTAGTCGCCTTTTATGGCAAGCATGGGTTGCTGAAGATCTATTCTACCCCAAATCTTCATGGGTCTAATAGATCTAATAAGTTAGGTTGCAAGTGGACTGAAATGTTGAGCTGCTGGTAATAGACTGCCTATGTGATGTTCCAGGGGCATCATCCACCCCCTGGTGATGAGGTACAAGAGCTCGTGGGTGTACATAGGGTAAGTGCCGATGTACCAGTGCCTGAACTGGTGATGGCTGCCATTTTGATTGAGCAGGCATATTATTAACTAGGATTTTATTGCAGTAGTAAAAACACTACAATATTCTTTTACATTTGTTTGTTTATTAGTCTGCAAAGTTCCAGCTATATGACAGCGTTCTGTAAATAATCGAGTCTGGACCAGACAATCCAGTGATTAACATCATGAGCATCAATCCACACAATAGGGATACGATGACATGCATCAACCAAGTCAGCGAGCCTGACCACCCGATCCCATTAGTCTCCTCTCACGACAAGCATAGTCGCCTTTTACGGCAAGCATTGGTTTCTGAGGACCTATTCTACCCTGGATCTTCATGGGTCCTTTTGCAATATTGATGCAAGTGTGACATGATGACAATACCTGGTGAACTTGCCAAATCCTGCTAAATCCTGGTAGGCTTGGTCAGATATTGGTGTCTCAAGAAGATACCTATCACCAGTACTTGTGGAGTTTCTGCTCTACGTGTACGCTATTTGTCAATGCACCACTGCCAGTGTCCCACAGGGAAACCTGTCAACCCTACGGCTGTTGTCAACGGCATGAAATATACAGTTCCATAGGTTCTAGAGTCCAGTCCTGATTTTCCTTAGTTCCACCCAGCTAGAATGATGTTAAAAGCAGTGTAACACCATACTCATTCACTCCTTAAGCTCGTTTAGCAGATGTAAATTTTGATATATTGGGCAATCTTTACATTTTGATCCTGCCAATCCCTGAACCACATGCCCTTGTGTCGTTGCCCAAATACTTCTAGATCAATCACGAGTGTCAGAACGTGTAAAGGTATTGTCGGATCATAGGTTTTCAGACATCATATGTTTTTGGACGGCCATGTTTATCGCGACTAGTCGAGCTATGACAGGGGGTGTAGCATCACACAGACATTTTAAATACCCAAATGATGGCTTGTTTTTAAGAGAAAGTTGTCTTTTATAAGGGAATAGGATGTTTTACAGTTGTTCATGTGAGAAGTAAAGAAAAAATCTACGAATGTTTCTTAAGCACCCGAAAACCCATAACATGGGGATATAATAGGTTAGTGCATTTCTGACACCCGTGATATTTTAATTGATCTAGAAATATTTAAGCAATGGCACAAGGGCCTGTGCCCTGAACATGTTAAATGGGTAGACACTTTCTAGTTATATAAATCACTTAGGATCATCTGATACAAAATGTCCATGGAGGACTGTTTTCCAACAACTTCGGTGAGAACCTTGTTAAATATGTCATGTAGTTCGGATGCAGTTTTGGATGTGACATGCTAGGGTTTAAGTTTTCAAATCTGAAATTACGAATGTTCACCAGATGGTCAAGATGTGTTGAATTCAAGGGAGATAACTCTATTTTTCAGAATAGCCATTGGTGGATTTATACCCAACTGCATTTATCATTTCATCAATGCTGATTTCATTAGCTCTGCCACTTATGCAAGTCATTATTACTAGTAAGTACAGATCAAGTGTCTCCAGATTAGTGAGAGATGGTACCACCCTGAAAACAAACAAAAACAGAATATAAATATTGAAATGATTGCAATGTTTCTAGTGATAAGATTTTTAGGGACTTGTCATTTATAGACGGGTGGTAAGGCTGGGACGGGGAGCTCGGGTACTCGGGTCGGGTGGGTCCTGAGTAGGACCCGGGTACCCACAGGACTATCTGGACCCGGGGTTAGTCACGTTTAATGACAAAATTTATCTAAAACTCTATGGTTACTATATAAGTCACTAATGTTCCCATTTCTTTCTGACAATGCACCCATTCCTTCTGACTTTTATATGTTTGAATAAAGATAAAACTTCATGCAGTAAACTTCAGAGTATGCATGACCAGATCATTTTACTCGTGAACTTAAATACATTTTGCCAGGGCTAAGGTCAAACTTTTCCAAATCGGACAGTTTGTACCTATGTCCCAGCCCTAGTGGGTGCCCCAGTGGAATTGGTGCGAGGACTGTATCATATTTGTCACCCCCACTTTAAAATAAGTAACATTCTTTCATAACCCCTCTCCCTGTAATAAATGTCTCGTCTAAATAATGATCAAATGTATGACTTTTTTAATTTGTAAAAATAGATTTGTGTCCCCCCACCACCATCCTATCTCACCAGCCCCGCCCTTATACTATATGACCACTCTCTCATACACATTTCAATAAAAATGATAATCAAAGTTTTGATTCATTTCCAAAACTTTGCCAAATTTAATATACTGGTACATTGTTTCTGAAAGGCTTGGAAGTGTGACAAGTGGATTATACACTGTATGACTGAGATCTTGAACAACACTTCCTAATGTGTACTTTGTAATCTTTGTAATAGATATTTACTTGAGATATTTGTTGATATAGGTAAATAAATTACATTAAAAGAATAACAGTTTTTAATTCATTGCTATTTTTCCTTTCAGTGATCCCCGGTTTATTTTGGGCATTATTTTATACCTTGTCGGCTTCGTCATAAACAGATGGGCAGACTGGAAACTCCGCTCCCTGAGGAACACCAAGGGAGTACCTGACGGTACATGTCCTCATGCTACTTACCTGATCACTAGACCCGTGAAGATCCGGGGTAGAATAGGTCCACAGCAACCCATGCCTGCCGTAATAGGCGACTGTGTTTGTCGTAAGAAGCGACCAACGGGATCGGGTGGTCAGGCTTGCCAACTTGGTTGATGCATATCATCGTATCCCAATAGCGTTGATCGATGCCCATGATGTCAATCACTGGATTGTCTGGTCCAGACTCGATTATTTGCAGACCGCTGTCATATATCTGGATTATTGCTGAGTGCGGCATTAAACAACAAACAAACCTGATCACTAGGTAAAGAATCAGTTCATTTCAGGCTGATGTCATATGGCATTGCCCAACAAATGAACAAACTAACAAACAACCGTGTGTAAACATTGCTTGCCTGTATATATCTACTCTGTATAAAGCTGTGACAAGAAACAGCTAGGAAATGTCATGACAATCAGTAGGAAGTTCTTGTGTATGTTTCTATGACTGTTGATGTGTTGCTACAGGAGGGTCAGATTACAACATTCCCTACGGAGGACTGTTTGAGCTGGTCAGCTGCCCCAACTACTTCGGGGAACTTGTGGAGTGGACAGGATGGTGAGAACCTCGCACACTTACCGTAGTGGCTGTATTAAGGGTCTGGTCATTTATTGTGGGGTGTGGTGGGTCAGTGAGACTAAGGGGGGAATGTGTGTGTGTGTGTGTGTGTGTGTGTGTGTGTGTGTGTGTGTGTGTGTGTGTGTGGTGTGTGGTGTGGTGTGGTGTGGTGTGGTGTGGTGTGGTGTGTGTGTGTGTGTGTGTGTGTGTGTGTGTGTGTGTGTGTGTGTGTGTGTGTGTGTGTGCAGGAAGGTGCAGTTATTGCTTGTCAGAAACTAGATCATAGTGAGTAGTGAGTTGGGTTTTTGTGTTTGTTTTTGTAACTGTATTCCATCTTCCCGAGGCAAGGAAGTTTACTGACTATAAAAGTCCAGTTTCCACATTGGAATTCATTGTGACCTGTTACATGGAAATTCCTTGTGACCTGTTACATGGGAATTCATTGTGACATGTTACATGGGGATTCATTGTTACATGTTACATTGGAATTCATTGTGACCAGTTACATGGGAATTCATTGTTACATGTTACATGGGAATTCCTTGTGACCTGTGTCATGCAAATTCCTTGTGACCTGTTACATGGGAATTCCTTGTGACCTGTTACATGGGAATTCCTTGTGACCTGTTACATGGGAATTCCTTGTGACCTGTTACATGGGAATTCATTGTGACCTGTTACATGGGAATTCATTGTGACCTGTGTCATGCAAATTCCTTGTGACCTGTTACATGGGAATTCCTTGTGACCTGTTACATGGGAATTCATTGTTACATGTTACATGGGAATTCATTGTGACCTGTGTCATGCAAATTCCTTGTGACCTGTTACATGGGAATTCATTGTTACATGTTACATGGGAATTCATTGTGACCTGTTACATGGGAATTCATTGTGACCTGTTACATGGGAATTCATTGTTACATGTTACATGGGAATTCATTGTGACCTGTTACATGGGAATTCATTGTGACCTGTGTCATGCAAATTCCTTGTGACCTGTTACATGGGAATTCCTTGTTACATGTTACATGGGAATTCCTTGTTACATGTTACATGGGAATTCCTTGTGACATGTTACATGGGAATTCCTTGTGACATGTTACATGCAGGGGTGCAGTGTCTTTTGGTGCCATAAACTATGACCACAATTAATTTATTTCTTAAATAAACGCAAAAAACATTTTCAAAGTCAATTTTCAAATAACTTCAACAAAGTGAAATGAGAGAAATATACTGTTTATTTTCCCTGGTGTAGGTGCATAGCAACGTGGTCTCTAGCTGGACTGGTGTGGCTGCTGTTTTGTGCTGCAACGTTTGTACCACGGTCCAGACATAATCATCTTTGGTCAGTGCACTTTTGATTAACTTTTATGTTTGTATTTCACAAACCGGTAGCGGGGGCATGGGCGTCCCAGTCGTCTAAGGCGCTGCGATTCGCTGTGCAGAGTTGCATCTCTTGGACACGCCAGAAACCTATGATTGTGGGTTCGAATCCCGGTTCGCCCCGATTATGTTTCTAGGTTTGTCAGCACCATACCCGTGCTTGTGGGTTTCACCGAAGTGGAAACGTCTGAGGCCTGCATCACTTCAGGCTTTCCTCCCACATTAAGCTGACACGTCGTGATATAACTGGAATACTGTTAAAAGCGGCGTTAAACCCAACTCACTGACACGTGCCAAGGGACGCAACTCTGCACAGCGAATCCCGGCGCCTTAGACGACTGGGCCACCAGTGCCCCCGAATCTTATTTTTAATAATCGATCTTGGAGAAAGTTGCAAACTTTTTTGCCTGGTTGCACTCAGAGAGAACAGTCCGTGGTTGAATCATCAGCTGTGAATGTTGTATTAATTTGTCACCTTTAAACTGGCCTAGGGTTGAATCATCCTTTCACTTGTCAGATACGTTTTTGAATACACACGTAGTAAAACAGTATGTCGTGGAACCTCTTTTAATAATCTATTTTCTTCTGGCAGGTACAAGCAGCAGTTTGAGCTGTATCCGCCCAACAGGAAGGCGTTGATACCATTCTTGTTCTGATGCTCATGGAGGGAAGGACCAATGTAGGGATGGGTAGACTTGACCTTACTCTGTGCCACATTTACCTTTGACGGCTTGACCTTCTATGTGGTCACTTTGATATTTGTCCTGGGTCAGCTTGACCTGTGCTATGTGTCACATGTGTAAACCTGTTAAGGATTGACAGCTTGACCTTCTATGTGGTCACTTTGATATTTGTCCTGGGTCAGCTTGACCTGTGCTATGTGTCACATGTGTAAACCTGTTAAGGATTGACAGCTTGACCTACTGTGTGGTCACTTTGATATTTGTCCTAGGTCACCTTGACCTGTGCTATGTGTCCCATGTGTAAACCTGTTAAGGATTGACAGCTTGACCTTCTATGTGGTCACTTTGATATTTGTCCTGGGTCAGCTTGACCTGTGCTATGTGTCACATGTGTAAACCTGTTGAGGATTGACAGCTTGACCTACTGTGTGGTCACTTTGATATTTGTCCTGGGTCAGCTTGACCTGTGCTATGTGTCACATGTGGAAACCTGTTAAGGATTGACAGCTTGACCTACTGTGTGGTCACTTTGATATTTGTCCTGGGTCAGCTTGACCTGTGCTAAGTGTCACATGTGTAAACCTGTTAAGGATTGACAGCTTGACCTACTGTGTGGTCACTTTGATATTTGTCCTGGGTCACCTTGACCTGTGCTATGTGTCACATGTGTAAACCTGTTAAGGATTGACGGCTTGATCTACTGTGTGGTCACTTTGATATTTGTCCTGGGTCAGCTTGACCTGTGCTATGTGTCACATGTGGAAACCTGTTAAGGATTGACAGCTTGACCTACTGTGTGGTCACTTTGATATTTGTCCTGGGTCACCTTGACCTGTGCTATGTGTCTGTATGTCAATGAAAGTGTATCAATAACATATTTATAACATGCATTTACAAAGTAGACACAATTTATGGATAACAACTTCTTTATTTACTGTAAAGGCAACGTTTCAGTATAGATCCTTTTTCCGTTGCATTTACTTACGTTTTGTATTTCACATCATTTATTGAACATAACTTGATTCAAGATTGTTGACTTGATTCAAGATGTCTGACATTTGGAATGCTTATAATGAACTTTGGTTATAATGAACTTAAATAAGTGGTGTCTTAGAGTTTGTTATAACCATACTGTATATCATATACAAGACCTCTAAACATGGAGTGTGTGACTTATCTTCCCGAGGCAAGGGAGTTAACGGACTATGAAAGTCCAGTCTCCACCCTTGCCGAACAAGGCTGGAATTATGGAGTTATACTTCGGCTGGAATAACAAGTCAATCGCGTAGCGAAATCAACATCCGGTTTGTTAATTTCCATGCAGATTTCTATCGATTGCAGAATTTGCAATGCATCTGTACTGTCAACTTAGCGTCAACAAATATTTTCCAAATCTTTGCATGTTTTTAATCAAGGTGCTCACGTGATTTGATGCACTTCACCAAGTTAGACCCATATATTACAATATAGATCTTGATTATCGATCAGATCGTCTTGACTAGGTGCCACCGTTTTGTTTGAAGCAAATGGAAGTGATATGAGAGGTGGAATCTGATTGGTCTATAGGAGGAACATAGAAGGGACATAACTTGTACAAGCCACTGATGGCGCGACGATCGAACCCAGTAATTCCAGCCTAGTTATGCAAGGGTGGAAACTGGACTTTTACAGTCATTTAACCTGATTGACAGACTGTGTCATCACACCCAAACATCTTTGTTGTTGTTCACGCTATTGACCAGTGGTTTGGCAGGTCCTGACTGGTTACGTTCAGACTGGTGTCATGTCTGTCTCTATAAGGCTTTAGTACTTCTTTCTTAATTGTTGTCCTCTCCAAAGCAGATTCTAGGTTAGAACTGGTCCCCAGTAGGCTATGCTGGCCGTAAGAGGCGAGGGGGCACAGGTGGCCCAGTCGTCTAAGGCGCCGCGATTCGCTGTGGAGAGTAGCCAAACCTATGATTGCAGGTTCGAATCCCGGTTTGCCCCGATTATGTTTCTAGGTTTGTCAGCACCATACCCGTGCTCGTGGGTTTCACCGAAGTGGTAAACGTCTGAGACCTGCATCACTTTGGGCTTTCCTCCCACATTAAGCTGACACGCTGTGATATAACTGGAATACTGTTAAAAGCGGCGCTATACTCAACTCACTCACTCACTCGTAAGAGGCGACCATTGTTGTGACATGACATTGCTGCAGTAGGAAGAAACCACTACATCTGTTATAACCCACTGTTTGACAAGCTTGTCACTGTTTATATATATTTCCAAAGAGATAGTTTCATTGTTCAACTGACTTTTGTCAGCTTTGGAAGTCTTTTCTTTCCAAGAAAATGAAATGAAGAGTTTGCAGCAAGAGTTTGATCACTATTCATCACAACATCAAGTGAATTCTTTTTTCTCCAAATTCAGCTGAGCTGGTGATTTTAGTTGCCCTGAAACCATGTGATGACATCCAATCCACCATGACATCATAACATTCCAGAGTGATGTCATACATCTCACAACTGTGAGAGTTTACATGTGGAGAGAGACAGTGTTATGGAAAATTACTAATAGCTTTTGTATTTTATAACATCGATACACATTACAGCGATATCTGTGTTCAGTTTGGCCTGTGTAATTGAGCTGTTCCAAATGAAATGCATGTCATCACAGCCCAATTGCGTAGATTGATGCTCATGATGTAAATCACTGGATTTTCTGGTCCAGACTTAAGTATTTATGGACACATAGCTGGAATATTGCTGAGTGCAGTGTTAAACAACAAAACTCAGTAACACCCAGAAGTCTGAAAACACATGTTTATCTCTTAAATGACATTTCACCAACAAAGTGATATTATTTATCTCAAATATAGTAATACTCACAAGCCTCATCTTTGTATGGTATGTTTGATATTATCAGCTCAGCTGGTTTGGAGCCAGAAGAACCAATACCTTGGTGCATCAACATTGACTGTCAATATGTTTCTGGATTTTATTTAATTAAAATCAGATCTTAGTCCTCGCTACCACTAACCAGAGCTTGTTTAGCAGTATCAAGAACTAAGAATTGACTTTAATGAGATTGTTTCTGGCCTTGGTGCATCAACATTGACTGTCAATATGTTTCTGGATTTTATTTCATTAAAATCAGATCTTAGTCCTCGCTACCACTAACCAGAGCTTGTTTAGCAGTATCAAGAACTAAGAATTGACTTTAATGAGATTGTTTCTGGCCTTGGTGCATCAACATTGACTGTCAATATGTTTCTGGATTTTATTTCATTAAAATCAAATCTTAGTCCTCGCTACCACTAACCAGAGCTTGTTTAGCAGTATCAAGAACTAAGAATTGACTTTAATGAGATTGTTTCTGGCCTTGGTGCATCAACATTGACTGTCAATATGTTTCTGGATTTTATTTCATTAAAATCAAATCTTAGTCCTCGCTACCACTAACCAGAGCTTGTTTAGCAGTATCAAGAACTAAGAATTGACTTTAATGAGATTGTTTCTGGCCTTGGTGCATCAACATTGACTGTCAATATGTTTCTGGATTTTATTTCATTAAAATCAAATCTTAGTCCTCGCTACCACTAACCAGAGCTTGTTTAGCAGTATCAAGAACTAAGAATTGACTTTAATGAGATTGTTTCTGGCCTTGGTGCATCAACATTGACTGTCAATATGTTTCTGGATTTTATTTCATTAAAATCAAATCTTAGTCCTCGCTACCACTAACCAGAGCTTGTTTAGCAGTATCAAGAACTAAGAATTGACTTTAATGAGATTGTTTCTGGCCTTGGTGCATCAACATTGACTGTCAATATGTTTCTGGATTTTATTTCATTAAAATCAAATCTTAGTCCTCGCTACCACTAACCAGAGCTTGTTTAGCAGTATCAAGAACTAAGATCTGACTTCATGAGGTTGTTTCTGGGTTATAATTAAAAAATATATGAAACGATTTTAACCAAGTTTGATTTACAGACCCAAACATAAGAAAACCAAAAAGAAAAATTTCAAGTCAGAAACAAACCATGAAGGGAAGGGAAAATAGTATGGTTCAGGGACTTGAGACAGAGACAGTTCAGGTTGTAGGACATTGTGAATCTTTACGATTAACTACAGTCATATGTTTGATTCAGGTTCCTGAACTTCTTTTGAGTAGTATATGTGAAGGTCACATGATGATTGCTGCAACTTATAGCGGTAGTTGATCTGGTTTACATCTGTATGTACAGTAAACCAGGTTATAACGAACTGACGGATATAACGAACTGACGGATATAACGAACTTACATTTTTGGTCCCGACTTTTTGCTGTAGTTTTGCTGTATATATTCTTATAACGAACTACAGTTAGTAACGAACTGACGGATATAAGGAACTTACATTTTTGGTCCTGACTATTTGCTGTAGTAATGCTGTATATATGCTTATAAATAACTACAGTTAAAACGAACTGACGGATTTAAGGAACTTACATTTTTGGTCCCGACTATTTGCTGTAGTTATGCTGTATATATGCTTATAACGAACTACGGTTATAACATACTAAAATTAGTAGTCCCCATGAGTTTGTTATAACCTTAGTTTACTGTATGTACTTACATGGCATATTAACCAAGCTAAGGAATGGCGTCCAAGCCATTTTTTGGTCCAGTAAATGCTGCAGTTTTTGCCAGAGAGAACCTGGGTTTGAAGTGGTCTATTCCTTGTCTCAAGAGCCATGTGGATTCCAGGAAAGAATACAGGTCCCCACCAACCTGTGCTTTTCATAAAGGGCAACTCAGTAGACTTGGTGGTTGATTGGTTGATTTCATGTCATCATATCCCAATTGCGTGGATCAATGCTCGTGTCAATAACTGGATTGTCTGGTCAAGACTTGATTATTTACAGGTTGCCATCTTGTAGCTGGAATATTAAACCGCAGACAAACAAACTAACCTCAGAGTTGACTTTGGGTGGTCAGGCTTCATAACTTGGTTGATTGTGTGTCATTGTAACTTGATGGCATGGGACATGGCTCATTATATGAATCACTGGTTTGTCTGGCCAGACTTGATGATCAGATCTGCAGGCTGCTCTGATATAGGTAACTGTAACAGTGCTGGCTGCCATAAACAAAACAGTCTCTTTGAAATCAGATTGTAGTTTTGGTATTGCTAAACAAAGATCTGAGGACATACCATTACGGGTCATGTTAGGATGACCTTTCATATGACCAATCAGAGTCTCGCTGAGTATTATTTTTCAAAGTTCAGTCTGGAATGGAAGTCGCCAGGTTGGCACTCGTGCCATATAGCTCGAGAAAGCTGCTTTCTGATTGGCTAATGTCAACTTTTTGCTAGTGATTTCATTGGTTGGTCAAAGTTCCCAAGAGGTTGTTCACATGTTACCTTTTATGGGATGATTTTAATGAGATTGTGTAAACAACCAACCAACATGCTTGAACTGTGAACATTTTTAAGAGTTGTCATGACTATCCTTCCATCAGCAGTGACTGTAGTAACATACTTGTATGTATAGTTGTGATGTGATTTATACTATGGCTTTTGCAATGTATACTTTGATATAATCTTTAAGTGATATACAAACAATATATATACACCATATTTACTTTGTAGTTTTTTGTTTTTACTTATGCTTTTCCGAATTAACTAAAAATTTGATGTATGAACATTTATGAGATGATCATATTATTGGTTGTAAATTTCAAAGGTGCTATCACAAACTTCCACCAGGTTTAAGAAATAGATACATTTCTATTTCAAAATATATATGTACATGTTTGCTGTACTGATCAAAATGGTCAATTCTTTTCTTTGCAAGTGAAACATTAAGATGTCCCTGTAAAGCAAAGGACTAAGTGAAGACGTGGTTCGGGACTTCATCCTTTCTGTGATGTTCAGCCATTTTGGATTGGCAGAAGTTCACAAAGTAAACCAAACATAATGTCAAGTGTTTTCCCAGTTTGTTATAAGGGAAGAAACTTCCAGTAATATGTTACTTGGACTGTAAATATTAGTTCATGATAAAGGGACACCTTGTTAACTCCATTAATTCAAAATGTTATTTATAACATAGCTGTGATCTATGCAGAATCAATATAGCTCTACATAGTCAGATGTTGGCGCTTTGCTATCTTGATATAGATACAGGGGGCACGGGTGGCCCAGTCGTCTTAGGCGCCGCGATTTGCTGTGCAGAGTCGCTTCTCTTGGGCACGCCAGAAACCTATGATTGTGGGTTCGAATCCCGGTTCGCCCCGATTATGTTTCTAGGTTTGTCAGCACCATACCTGTGCTCGTGCGTTTCACCGAAGTGGTAAACGTCTGAGACCTGCATCACTTCGGGCTTTCCTCCCACATTAAGGTGACACGCCGTGATATAACTGGAATACTGTTAAATAAGCGCCCCCTGACAAATATCTGGGCCATATGTAAAGTAGTAAGAAACTTTACATGACGTAAAGCATACAGAAACCAACAGTGTGAATGGGAATATAATTGCCTAGAAACTAATATAGAAATCTTTTTGTATTATCTATGTTTGTTCACTATCCCTTGATCCCTGACAACACATTTAACTCATTGTGTTGAGTTTCAATAAGCGACCACTTTGTCAATTTTTATGATGGCACATACATCAATGTGATATGTTTTTTTGTCATATATATAAGGAAAGAAACAAAATTAATTTGTTTTTTTGGTAATGATATGGGTAAAAGTAAAAGGGTGACTGTGGGTGTTTTGTTATTTATTACACATTCCATACATTGTGAGACCTGACAGTGGTTGTCATATAAGAGCATCGAATCGCTCGCAGATTTACCAGTCGTCAATCTCAAATTCGCTACTTTATACGACTATAGTATATCTTAAATGAAGTAGGAATGGCAGCATCTCGTTTTTGAATGATAAAATTTGCTTTTTCAAATAAACATTTTTTCAGTTCTTGTTTGTTTCTTTCTTTTCAAACTGAGGTTAAGAAAAGTGTTTAGACAATACAATGCTGTCAAAGTGAGTCGTTGGTGAAATCAGCAAGTGTAGACATGATGCTTACACAACAAGGCAGATAAGTGACATCCCCGGCACAGTCACTTGTAGCACCTGAGACCAGCGAGCCATCATGCAACATTTACTGCACAAACACTCTAAAAAATTCCATAATTGGCTAATCAGCAGATCCTGGAAGGACAAAGGAACACAACTCTGGACAGCGCTTTCCAGCACCTTGGGCCACTGGGCCATGTGTCCATGCAAACAGCTTGAGAGTGAGAATATTTGTGCCGATAGGAAGTCAGAAGAGCATTTAATACCACAGATACAACGAGTGAAGGAGCAGTCTTGAAGAGATATTCACCAGTTGAGCCAATAATATTTGTTCTTCCTGTTGGATAAAAGTATCAATGGTCTCACTGTGGGATAAAGCTATTCATGATCATATTTTGGGATAAAAGTATCAATGATCTCACTCTGGGATAAAAGTATCAATGATCTCACTCTGGGATAAAGCTGTTCATGATCATACTTTGGGATAAAAGTATCAATGATCTCACTGTGGGGTAAAGCTATTCATGATCATACTCTGGGATAAAAGTATCAATGATCTCACTGTGGGATAAAGCTATTCATGATCATACTCTGGGATAAAAGTATCGATGATCTCACTATGGGATAAAGCTATTCATGATCATACTCTGGGATAAAAGTATCAATGATCTCACTGTGGGATAAAGCTATTCATGATCATACTCTGGGATAAAAGTATCGATGATCTCACTATGGGATAAAGCTATTCATGATCATACTCTGGGATAAAAGTATCAATGATCTCACTATGGGATAAAGCTATTCATGATCATACGCTGGGATAAAAGTATCAATGATCTCACTATGGGATAAAGCTATTCATGATCATACTCTGGGATAAAAGTATCGATGATCTCACTATGGGATAAAGCTATTCATGATCATACTCTGGGATAAAAGTATCGATGATCTCACTCTGGGATAAAAGTATCAATGATCTCACTGTGGGATAAAGCTATTCATGATCATACTCTGGGATAAAAGTATCGATGATCTCACAACGGGATAAAGCTATTCATGATCATTCTCTGGGATAAAAGTATCAATGATCTCACTATGGGATAAAGCTATTCATGATCATACTCTGGGATAAAAGTATCGATGATCTCACTACGGGATAAAGCTCTTCATGATCATACTCTGGGATAAAAGTATCAATGATCTGACTGTGGGATAAAGCTATTCATGATCATACTCTGGGATAAAAGTATCGATGATCTCACTATGGGATAAAGCTATTCATGATCATACTCTGGGATAAAAGTATCGATGATCTCACTACGGGATAAAGCTATTCATGATCATACTCTGGGATAAAAGTATCAATGATCTCACTATGGGATAAAGCTATTCATGATCATACTGTGGGATAAAAGTATCAATGATCTCACTGTGGGATAAAGCTATTCATGATCATACTCTGGGATAAAAGTATCGATGATCTCACTATGGGATAAAGCTATTCATGATCATACTCTGGGATAAAAGTATCAATGATCTCACTATGGGATAAAGCTATTCATGATCATACTCTGGGATAAAAGTATCAATGATCTCACTATGGGATAAAGCTATTCATGATCATACTCTGGGATAAAAGTATCGATGATCTCACTACGGGATAAAGCTCTTCATGATCATACTCTGGGATAAAAGTATCAATGATCTGACTGTGGGATAAAGCTATTCATGATCATACTCTGGGATAAAAGTATCGATGATCTCACTATGGGATAAAGCTATTCATGATCATACTCTGGGATAAAAGTATCGATGATCTCACTACGGGATAAAGCTATTCATGATCATACTCTGGGATAAAAGTATCAATGATCTCACTATGGGATAAAGCTATTCATGATCATACTGTGGGATAAAAGTATCAATGATCTCACTGTGGGATAAAGCTATTCATGATCATACTCTGGGATAAAAGTATCGATGATCTCACTATGGGATAAAGCTATTCATGATCATACTCTGGGATAAAAGTATCAATGATCTCACTATGGGATAAAGCTATTCATGATCATACTCTGGGATAAAAGTATCAATGATCTCACTGTGGGATAAAGCTATTCATGATCATACTCTGGGATAAAAGTATCAATGATCTCACTATGGGATAAAGCTATTCATGATCATACTCTGGGATAAAAGTATCAATGATCTCACTGTGGGATAAAGCTATTCATGATCATACTCTGGGATAAAAGTATCGATGATCTCACTATGGGATAAAGCTATTCATGATCATACTCTGGGATAAAAGTATCAATGATCTCACTATGGGATAAAGCTATTCATGATCATACTCTGGGATAAAAGTATCAATGATCTCACTATGGGATAAAGCTATTCATGATCATACTCTGGGATAAAAGTATCGATGATCTCACTGTGGGATAAAGCTATTCATGATCATACTGTGGGATAAAAGTATCAATGATCTCACTCTGGGATAAAAGTATCAATGATCTCACTGTGGGATAAAGCTCTTCATGATCATACTCTGGGATAAAAGTATCAATGATCTCACTGTGGGATAAAAGTATCAATGATCTCACTATGGGATAAAGCTATTCATGATCATACTTTGGGATAAAAGTATTCAGGATCTCATGGAATAGAAGCATTTGTGTTCTTCCTCTGGGACAGTATTCATTAATTTACTATGAAATAAGTGTCATTATCTTACAATGGGATAAAGGTATTCAGGATTTTAAAATTGAAAGAAAGTATTTCTCTTTCTGTATGATAACATTATTCAGGATCTACTATGGGATAAACATATTGATGACCTTATACTATGCAATAATAGTGATCATGTCTGATGTCTGGATGTCAGACCGCCTCCGTGGTCTAGTGGTAGAGCGGCCGCCCGGGGAGCAGAAGGTTTGGGGTTCGATCCCTGGCCGCGTCATACCAAAAGACATTCAAAGATGGTACTTGTTGTTACCCTGTCTGGTGCTCGGCACTAAGGGGCTAAAACAAGGACTGGTCGGCTCGGAGTCAGTATACTGTGTCTGAGTGGGGTATTCATGTTACACTGCGTCATGGTATCTCACTGAGCTAGCACTATGAATCAGCATCAGTCCGGACTAGTACAAGCAGCCACACAAACACACACACGTACATGCACTTCGCTATATAAGTGCAATAATCTTGGACGCGACGTTAAACCCCATTTCACCTCACCTCACCATCTCTGGATGTCAACATCTGAGTCCTGGCAGACTCAGGACAAACAGGCATACACAATGTACAAAATAAGCTCAGTTGGAGTTGTGGTTTTCTTCCTGTTTATCCCAGTCACTCGCGGTAACCTCAAGCTGACACGCCTTGATGTAACTGAAATACTATACAGTAAACTACGGTTATAACGAACTCAAAGGGACTACTAATTTTAGTTCGTTATAACCGTAATTCGTATATATACAGCATAACTACAGCATATAGTCGGGACTAAAAAGTTAGTTCGTTATATCCGTTTGTTCATTATAACCGTGTTCGTTATAACCGTAGTTTACTGTATTACCGTATTCGACGTAATAAGCGCCCCGCTCTAATAAGCGCCCACGGCGACATTTGCTAAGATATTGGCTAGTGAACAATCCCAATTAGCACCCCTTCCGATTGATCAATGTACACAAGACTTATTTATTCGCGTATAATACGCACTTGTGTGCTATATGCACCCTTAATTATTGGCAATTAATTTTGAAAAATATATAAAAATAAACCTTTCAGGCTGACAGCAGAAACAACGAAATTTATCTTTCAACTCTGTTTTTTTTCACCAAAATAATATTCTAATAAGAGCCCCCTATTTCTTATTTTGAGAGCGCCCTGGGCTCTTATTACGTCGAATACGGTACTATTTAAGGCGGCACCACCCACCCTCACTCACTCTTGTCTTGGAGACAAACAATGAGACTTCTAAAACCAGGACATATTTAATTTCCAATAAAATATATTACATATACCTCCAAATACATGATCTATGTTATACACAACATCAGTATCAATGGTGATACTGCTTCATTATAAACTATACATTCATGTACAAGTCTCTTACAATGAAATGTCTCTACAGACAATTAAATAATTCCATTTGTAAAGGATTCATGATCACAGAAGTGACAAGGCTGTTTTGGTAACAACTCGATGATGCAATTTTGATATTGATCATCCTTAATATTTCTTCCCATTGACGATAATTCTGATTGTGGATCTTTTTAGCCAGCCCTATCACCCATGGTCCTACTACGACTAGGTCTTCAGCAACCCATGCTTGCCGTAAAATGCTTGTCATTGCGACGAACAGGATCGGGTGGTCAGGCTCGCTGACTTGGTTGATGCATGTCATTGTGTCCCAATTGTGTGGATCGATGCTCATGATTTCAATAACTGGCTTGTCTGGTCCAGACTCGATTATTTACAGACTGCTGTCATATAGCTGGAATATTGGTGAGTGTGGCGTTAAACAAACAAACTAAACAACATCTAGATCTACATATAATCATCATACTGTGGAGTGTAGTCGGATACCCCCAATACCATACACAGAGGTTCAATGCCACACACACGGGTTCAATGACATAGTTAGTCAGAGGTAGTGCATCTTCTCCTTACTGATTGATTGTCATCGTCAATATTTTATGGATTTCAAGGCCGTAGTTAACTTTTTTTTGACAAGGGGGGGGGGGGGCAAATATTTGTACAAGTATCACTTGTCCACAACTTGTATTTTCATGATTCAAATAAAACTGTTTTCTATAAAAAATCCAGGAGGGCTACTGCCCCCCCTGCCCCCCGGCTGGCTACGGCACTGGATTTATGTACACTACATAACTCCATCACCTGTAAATACATCCGTCTGCTAAGCAGTGTAATTGTGACTCATTCCTGTTTTTAGCCAGGTAATGAAACCACAGGGGCCTGTAACGCAAAACCTAGCAGCTACAAGATAGTCACACCCGGTGCTAGTACTGGGTGTGACCATTACAAGTCCCTGTGAATGAAACAAGGCCATGTATAACTCTCAGAAGTTGAATGAACCTTAGTCTGTGTAAGAGCTCTGTGTGAACTCTTCTGATGCCTGATACTGAAACAATATTGAGAGTAGATGGACGCAAGGTTGTTTCACGTGTTGCACGAGAAAAAGTGCAGAGATAACCTGAGGGCTTTTTGGCCTGAATGCTCACTGTTGGCTGTGACTTGATTTGGTGGAATAAAATGGTGACTACACTGCAAAGCAGTTGTAAGTATTCATGGTTGATGTAGCAATGCAGTGTGTACAAACCTGTGAAGTTTGGATGAAAGATTGTCGGATTAACATATTTGGATTATCATTAATAACAGACCAGTTGGACCATCTTGATCATTATGATCTTTATACAATAAAGGCTCTGCCCAGGGGCCACATGCACAAAGTGACTGTAGCACAACAGCAACTATTAATAATTTAAATCTTTGCTTAACTACAGTAGTTACAAAAGTCATCATGCTAAGACAACTGTGTGCAAATAACCCCTGAATACATTCCCAGATGCCAACCCAAGTTTGAGTGAGAGATTGAGTTGGGTTTAACGCCGTTTTTAACAGTATTCCAGTCATATCGCAGCGTGTCAGCTTAATGTTGGAGGAAAGCCCGAAGTGATGCAGGTCTGACGAGCATGGGTATGGTGCTGACAAACCTAGACACATAATCGGGGCGAACCGGGATTCGAACTCACAATCATAGGTTTCTGGCATGCCCAAAGGATGCAACTCTGCACAGCGAATCGCGGCGCCTTAGACGACTGGGCCAAACGTGCCCCGCAACCCCAGTTTGAGATCATCAGTCACACTTGGGGTCTGATTATCAATTTGAACAGAATACCTTTCACATTGCATTGACTGGAAAGAGTAAACTTGACATGCTAAGCCTATGTGACAATACCTGTGATAATTTACTTATACCACGCACCACAGGGGTAAAACTCATCTTCTGACTCAAGTATAATGTGCTTACCGTATATAACCCTAGATAAACTAAATTTTGAGGACCAGAAAAAAGATTCTGTAGAAAGGGGTTGGCAAATGTAACCAACCAACCCAATCTACCGGTGATTATGTTAAAACATACCCAATAATATAACGGAAAAGAATTTTGATGCAATTATCAGAAAACATGCTGCCATTTTAACATGTTGTCCATTGTGTAACATTCTTGCTGCCATGACAGATGACATCAATAACTAGTTAAAATCTCTGGCAATGATTATTGCCAACATTTGTAACAAATTCCACTTTATTGTATTGGTGGAATTTGGTGCAAAATACAGTAATGATTCCACCAAAATGGTACTGTTTGACATTTCTGATACATTCTGTCCTGTTTACTAATATCATGCACACGTCTCAACACACACTGACGGGAGTGGGCCCAGCCTGGACTGATGTCACCACCCAAGGATGTGGCTGTATTCTGCTCGGACCTTCTCCCGATCTTCAACTGCTGGCAGTACTGGCAGAATGCCCTTCCTCTTTCTGTCCGTCATGATGCGGCTCTGAAAATATATTAAGGATCAGGCACGATAAAGACCGTATTATAACCCACTACAAATTGTCATATTCCCAAATTCCATGTAATAATTTTACTTAAGTCTTCTCCGTGAGTTGGGTCACAGGAATTCGAAGATGATAATTCTTTATGATCCATGCATCCCACAAGGCTAAAGGGTTTTTATGTGTACAGCTATGAATTTGCTGTCGTATGGCGCCTCACTGTTTTAGTGATAACATGATGTGTGAACTTTATCACTATTAATGTGGAAGGAAGGGTGAAACTGGTCATAGGTAGTTGCCACTTAAGTGTCTGTTTGTTTGTTTAAATCCGCACTCAGCAATATTCCAGCTAAAAGACAGCGGTCTGTAAAACAGCTGTCACACCAGGGCTGCGTCCTCACTGACAGTCAATAAAGTCTTACTGGTGACAACATAATTTCAGAAGAATTTTAAATCAGGCATACCCAAAACTCTCGGCAGTTCCGGTAATTCTGGAAACACATAGAGCACTTCTCCCTGTCGTATCCATTGTCATCCAAACACTTGTATGACATTTGTTGCTCCTGTTGAATGAAAGCAGATTTCCATGATTAGAGATATGATTTATATATTCTTGGTCAAACAAATAGAAACAGTATTGGTGTAATGGTTCATTACCAGGATTTAAGCATGACAACACAGAACTGTTTTATGCCACCGAGCAGTATTCCAGTATACCTGTATATCATACCTTAGGATACTTGAATTATATATACTCATAAAAAATATGGGAAAAATGCAATTTACCAGACTAAATGTTCTGGAATTCAATTCTGCCTGCGCAGAGGATCAAACTTGCATTGCTATCTTGAAGCTAGGCTAATTAGCCATCCCTTTACCATAGGACCATGGGAGCTATCACAAGTAATTAGTCCTCGTTTACTTTGTGTATCCGTACCAGATTGTTTTTTTTGTCATGGTAGCCACTTTTCTCTGCAAACTCAAAACGATAAGAATTCTACAGATTTTCCTCAAATTACATAAGATTCTTTCTTAAATGAGACAGCTATCCATAACCTAACTCACAACCCAAAGGGTTGTAAAGACGTGTTAATTTGACTGGCAATGGGTTCCCAAACAACAGGAATGTGAAGGGGTGTTTGATCGGAAAGAGGTACCTAACCCTAAGGATATAAATGTGGTTACTTAATCAGAAAGGGGGTCCAATGGCTAAGGATACAGTTAAAGGTAACCTACCCCAGAGCTCCAGATAAGCTGCGTATCTGTGTAAAATATGCATCAGAAATGCAGAAATATGCAGTAAAATAAAATCCAAGCGTTCAAATAAGCAACGAACATTACAGATACCCTACAAAAATAAAACTTGTGGGTACCATCAAAATATTGTGAAGTAACCCTGCGTATTCGATATGCAAATCAGCAACTTATTTTGAAATTATACACGGGCATTCCATCATTTGCCATCACACTTTCTTGTGGAAGTATTGTGGTATTTTTGAGTCCTATAAAGCTCTCGAACCCACACGACACCAGTTTGCAGGGACTAGATGAATAGTGTTTTTAAATATTTAACTTAAATACCCACATGTGTAAAAACTAGTGGGTAACAGAAATTTGAATACCCAGATAGAATTACTGATACCCAATGATTTTAAAATGCATGGGTAAAATATCCACAACACCAAAACCGGATTTTGGGGCTTATCTGGAGCTCTGCTACCCAAACCCTAACACAAATAGCCCTAGCGATAGAAGTGGCACGCGAGATCAATGAAGAGACAGTCAAAGCCGAGACCAATTACAGCTAAAGACTGCGTCCGGTAAAAAGGAATTTTGCTCAAAATATATTTTTGTTTGGTTGCAGCTATGAATTCCTGTGATGTCAGTGACCAGTGACGGTGTCACCAAGCTGTCACTGTCAGACTTACCGTCATGCATGGGTTCTTGTCGCTTGATGCCTGTCTTGTAGATCTATTAATTTTGTTTTGTCTCTCCTCTTCGTTAAAGGCGCGTCCATTTGTGGAAGCCATTTCCGAAATGCGTTGCAAATATCTGGTAAATTTCGATGCATACAAATCAACACAGGTTTTCCATGCGCGCTGACATCTTGTATTTTACAAGAAAGTATCAGGGAAAACTAATTTTAGTTATATTACCTTCCAAAAGTAGGGAAAATAACTTTGAGGTAATATGAAGTCTTATGTCATTAATGTAACTTTCGTATTACTGATGTGTGATCACTTTCTTGAAGAGTAGTTAAATCATAAGAAAAATTGTGAACATCTTATATCACGTACTGATACAAAAAGTTTGTACAAAAGAAGTTGTTCGACAAATACATGGCTGGTGGCCGGCATACAAACTCTACGACAGCGCATATTACACATTTCACACCGCAACTCTAATATTACACCGAACGAAGCGTTCTGCGACATCGGTGTTTGGAGCCTAGTCCGAGGGGTTTTCCCGACCCACAATACTTTGTTAGTAATGGCGTCGCCAGACAAGGTTGGAAATTGTGCAGACCATGAAATAGAGGAGGTTTGTGCTTAGATATAACTCATTTACACAGTTTGAATAACGGATTTTGTAAAGATATCGATTTCAGAACCTAAATATCCCTCTTTCTATATACATGCTGATTTGGAAAGCACACTTTTGTAATGTTACGTTTTGCATAGAACCTTGCGAGGGCCTCCAGATAACTGTTTCCTAAGAAGTAAGGTCACAGTAATGAATTTCCATGTACACTGTGACCTTATTATTTAGAGCGAACTGTCATTATACGGCATTGTGTTTACAGTATGATTTTGAGAAAAGCATGGGGATTTAATACAATGAGTAGGGATACACAATGGAGTTGTTTAGCGTTCGCTATTTTCATAAATATATTTTAATTGAAATCTAATTTAAAAATAACTTTATACATGTAGAATGTAGATCTAGAGTAGATCCAGATTAATGACATTGAAAATTTTAGTTTAATTTAAAAAAAAATTTCACAAACATGTTATGTTGCAACATACTAATGGAGGAAAGGTAATCCTCAGATAAAAACTCAACACTTTGACACATGATAATAAACAAATGTATTTTCTTTTCATATTCAGACTAGTGAAATTCCTCTAACGAGAGGTTGTCAAATGTCCTAACTTCGTCTTGATTATTTTTTTATATTATTTCTGGAGTCAGTATGTGCAAATGTTTCCAAGTTATCTATACACCTATGTATATGTAGAGTTTAGAGTGAGCTAATCGTGTTCTAAAGGTCTTTTTGCGTCAAGAATAGAGTTATTTCCCATCTCATGCTTATGACCAGCGTGATAAAACAAAAACGAAAAACAAATGAAAAATGACTTGCCTCACTTTTCCATTTTCAGGGAAACAATTGGTAAGGCCATACCAATTAAATTACTTGCTTGACATTCTTATTTCACAAAATGCCTGAAGGCAGGAGGGGAAAGAAGCCACACATCTTATTGAGAAGGGTGAAACAATACAATAACATGCTGATGCACATGATATGTTACCTTTGATATGATACACAATGCATACAGACCTGTATCAAGAAACATGGTGATACAAAGTACCTAGTTTTCACGTACTTAAAGGGGCACTGATCTAAAGCAATTCCCTTGGACTGGTTGTTGCCTTTGTTATTGTCTTTTCCCTGTGGGGGGCACGGGTGGCCCAATTGTCTAAGGCGCCGCAATTTGCAGTGCAGAGTTCTGTCCCTTGGGCACGCCAGAAACCTATGATTGTGGGTTCGAATCCCGGTTTGCCCCGATTATGTTTCTAGGTTTGTCAGCACCATACCTGTGCTCGTGGGTTTTACCATAGTGGTAAACAGTTGAGTCCTGCATCACTTCGGGCTTTCCTCCCACATTAAGCTGACACTCTTTGATATAACTGGAATACTGTTAAAAGCGGAGTTAAACCCAACTCACTCACTCACTTTTTCCCTGTGAGTACCCGGATGATATAGCAGATCTAGACTAGTTCGCGATTTCTGCTGCGCCATTTGTAAGTGCATTTGTCACTTTTATTGATAGTATAGTATATGGGCGTATGGTCACATTTTTGGAAATAATAAGGAAATGTAGGTATCTTTGTCGGTAGCATCAGAAATGGTGACGAAGTTTTGATAAGTCACTTGCTTGGTAATTGTGCGATGTTCGTTTACACTATTTTGACTTGCAACATTAAGTAAATATTTCACCTGAGCATTGCATATTTTATCTTGTTTATATTTTTACAGTCAAAATGTGCGAAAGTTTCACTTAGGAAATTTGTTAAATACATAGATATTCAGTTATTTTACAAATTGACTGAAAAATATGTCCATTTGATTATTATGATAACGAATTCCAAACATTTTTATGTTTAATATAATAAACAAGTGCCCGAAAATGTTAGGATTGAAAGTACATTTCTATATTGCTTGGCTTCTAGTCCTAGCAGAATTAATCTATTGTGATGTTTTTAAGCCCTTTTGGCCGTCTTAATCATTTTTAGTCAATCTGTTAAATAAATGGACAGATTTTTCAGTCAATTTGTAAAATGACTGAAATATTTAGCCATTTTATAAATCATCTGAGTCACTTACATTTTACACATTGACTATAACATATATACGCTTACAAAGGAAAAGACTTGTGAAAACAACGTCTATCGTGCATCGAAGAACTTCCCAATCAAGACGTAGAGGAACAAGAATGATTCTGTTCAATGCTACAGCATATGAATGAAAACAAAATGCAAATATCACAATTACAACCTACCAAAGTTATATATGTATAATTCTAGGCAGCTTCCTTGTTCGAGGAATGTATCCATGAATATCCACATAACGGAACAATATCCCACCTGTCTGCAGGTGTACAATGAAACTTATTTGATGTCACGTGTCTCTGTAACAATCAAATATTATAAAATATATATATATATATATATATCATTTCGGTGTATTATAACCTGTGTTCGTTTCTCAACTGATCACTTGGTTTGTTTCAGTTCTTTCACATAGGTGTCGAGTCTCAAAGGTCAGCTGAGAAAGCCCACGTGACAGCTGTTTTCATAATGTCCACAGTTCTTAAAAAAATCCATTGAGTTAGATAACAATGAGCAGTCAATCAACATATCATCGGTTTACCCTTTGATCAAAGTATGTTGTTTTTAAAGTATGCACTTCATGCCATGATATGAGTGTATTCCCTTTGCTTTAGTATACTACACATGTAAACACTTACTTTTGACATATAACAGTGATTAATCAATCAACATATTTTCTGTTGATCCTTTGATGGCGAGGAATGAAAAAAAAAAGTGAATCAGCTGATGATTCAACCCTTGCTCGGCTGCCACGTTCATATTACATAATACACATTTCACCTCACTTCAAACCTGGATTTAGATTGTGAATAATTACCTCAGACACAAGAAATGCCAAATGGGAGCCTTTATAAGGTAATCTGAGTTGTACTACCACTAATTATACCTGTAATAAATTCATTAACTGAGCATCAAGTGAATGACGACAAATACACAAGTGTAGGGTAATACCAGAAAACATGGATGACAACAAGGGAGTAGTAATTGTATTATCCATGCAATAGGAAATCCGAAAATGCTTTCACTGCAGGGATACTTTTTTTTTATTATCATACTGTAGCCATCGAGGGGTATTTCCAAATAACGAGGGGCGGTCGGGTAGCCTAGTGGTTAAAGCGTTCGCTCGTCATGCCGAAGACCCTGGTTCGATTCTTGACATGGGTACAATGTGTGAAGCCCATTTCTGGTGTCCCCCGCCATGATATTGCTGGAATATTGCTAACAGCGGTGCAAAACCATACTCACTCACTCACTCCAAATAACGACACCTGATGAGGTTCCACTGTTCTTTTTGTCTGTTTGTTTAGGCTGTAGAAATGAAAAAAACATGCATCCTTTGTCGAAATCTTCATAGATCGTGGGTAACCAATTAGTGTTAAAAAATGTGTAAAATTAATATTGCCGCCAAGTTTATTTAGCTGTCCTTGCAGATAGCCCAGTCACTTGTCACAGTCAGTCGCGGTCAGTGTCAGACAGTTGAGAAGAAGCCAGAGATTAGTGCCCCTTTAACAAAAGAATAAGGCTTTCTTGCTATATGAGCTGTGTATAAGTTTGCCAGTCGTCCACTTTCAATGCTAAACCTGCTCTGTTATTTTATTGGTTCATGTTCAGCAGCCAATCACAACCTAATAGGGTGCTTCAACCTCGCTGGTTGCACACAAGCTGAACAGTGCAGAGGGTTCATCTTCCTGAAGCAAGGGAGTTAACTGACTATAAATATCCAGTTTCCACCCTTGCCAAACTAGGTTGCAATGATGGAGTTATGTTTTGCCTGGACTAACAAGTCTATGCATAGTCCAATCAAAATCACGAAGCGAAATCAACATCTGGTTCGTAAACTGCTGTGCAGATTTCGGTCGACTCTAGGATTTTGCAAAGCATATGTACCGTCAACTTAGCGTCAACAAATATTTTCCAAATCTTTTCATGATTTTAATCAAGGTGGTGACGTGGTTTCATGAACTTCACGAAGTAAGGCCTGTTTTATTACAATATAAATCTTGATTATCGATCAGACCGTCTTGACTGGGCGCCACCATTTTGTTTGAAACAAATGCAAGTGATATGAGAGGTGGAATCTGATAGGTCAGTAGGAGGGATATACAAGGGACATAACTACAGCCTAATTTGGCAAGGGTGGAAACTGGACTTTTATAGTCGGTTTACTCCTTTGCCTCGGGAAGATACAGAGGGTGAGGATAAATAGTAGCTTGAAAAGTTGGTCGCATTCTACAAATCAGCTGTTAGGATCAGATGAGTTCAACTGTTATATTTCTTTGGTTGAGTGAGCAGGAGAGAACAAACACAGTCAAAATGTCTATGTATTGTAAATGAACATCTGGAGATAAAATGGTTACAAGACCCAAATGGTAGAAATGAATATTTTCTGTGACCGATTTTGTATATGGCTATTAAAAAAAGACTGTTAAAACAAGACATTAAATTGATCGAATAATCATGATACATGTATTTTGTATGTGCTGGCCTCATCTCTCCAACACAAATAAGAAGCAAATTGGCAGATAATTGTTGATGTTATCATGTTTGTCAAGGCTCTCTTATATGTCATTCTGATGACTGACTGTGACTGGCATACCTACACATATGTGTCTGTGGTGTCTGTTGATTTTAACTTTTGGCAGGCAGGTATGATAAAATGTGTGAAAAAATTAGTCTTAATGTAGGCGCGTTATGAATATGCCCGCCTTGTTTTTATTATAGCATTATGCTGATTAATACCTTTCACAAGCACCTTAATAGTTTGCCCTATTAATGTTATTTTTTAAGATAAAAAGATGCATATTAATTTGATTATGAACATTTTTCAGTGGAGTTTGATTTCAGTGTTTTTACTCTTACAGGACGTCTCAGCCATGTTATGATGAGGATTGATTTTAATTGAAAACCATGGCGGAACAGATTCTCCAGGCTGTCCCGGATGTTAACAACGTTGGATCTTTAGCAGAAGTTGATGGTGTTGTGACCGACTTCCCTGCTGTTGAAGTCGAGGTACATGACAAGACCATCCATGAGATTGGGGGTCTGCAGACACTGACAGCAGTGATGACCGAAGTTGAAAACAGTGGGATGGAGGCAGATAGGGTGCTCGCGAATAATATGGTCAAGGACGTAACTCAAGGTCATTCTCACAGAGACTTGGAAGGGCAGGATGGGGTGGATCCTAAAATGCAGCTTCTAATTTCCAATGAAGGCAGAGAAAATACTGCTGTGTATTTGGTAGATTACAATTACTCAGACAAAGATCTGAAGGATCAGATTGTTTCTGGACTGTCTGATTCCCGAATGATGGTGGGATCGAAGGATGTTTCGTTAAAATCTGAAGAGGAGAAATCTGACCAGCTCTCCTCTCAGGAACATGAGCCCTCGCAATTAGGGTCGTCTGTTGAATGTGGGTTGTCTGTTGAATGTGGGTCACCTGTTGAATGTGAATCATCTGCTGAGTGTTCGGCCAAGGCAGCATGTGTGCAGCATGAGGATAGTAGACAGAAGGCCAACCATGGTGTGTCAGTGTCAGGACCAGGAACGGTGGAATCTCACAACACAAGATCTCAGCAGGAACTTCTGCAGCATGTGGAACTGAGGGGAAAGGATGTAGCTGTTACCCGCTCTGGAAGAAAAGCTGCTTATAGGTCTCCTCAGCGGAATCTTTTATGTGAGAAATATGCCGTATTTTATGAGTTATATGTTCAAAGTGTATTTTGTGTGTTTCAATACCAGTATGACCATTGTTCTGAGAAACTTTGGGATAAACATAAATGCTTCATGTCATTCAGGGGCATGACTGTCCCAGTACTCTTAGGCACCTTATCTTCCTGGGGTTGCACCCCTTAGTCATGGCAGGATCTGCTGATTATGTTGTTATATGTGCTAGTTTTGTCTGAATTATGTTATATGGTTTCCCAATTATTTTTCTTGATAATATTCCACAGATACCCCAGTTCATCAAAGTGGTAAATATCTATGACTTATGTCACTTAAGTTTCTTATCAAATGCAATGTTATATATGAATTACTGTTAAGCTGTGTTGAGAACCTAACTCGTTCCATGTAACTAAAGCATATTAGTTATTATTATCCCCCCCCCCCCCCGAATATTATTGGAGAGAAGTAGGACCCCTACTTGCTTTATTTTACACTATAGTGTAATTACCATCAGCCCTTTTGTTCAGGTTGATGTTGGGGCAGTCGGGTAGCCTAGAAGTTTAAGCATTTGCTTGTCATGCCAAAGACCCAGGTTCAATTCCCCACATGGGTACAATGTGTGAAGTCCATTTCTGGTGTCCCCCAGCGTAATATTGCTGAAATATTGCTAAAAGTGGCGAAAAACCACACTCACTCACTCGGGTTGATGTCAATATTTGAATAGTTAAGGACTTTGAACATGTGGAAAATTTGATTAGAAACAAGCTGAATGACGATCTGAGTAGAGATCTTACATTAATACTACTCAAAAGAAGTTAAAGAACACCTGATTCTTTCATATTACTATTGTTAATCTGTCATACTAGCTGTAGTAATGTAAAAGAATTGGGTATACTTTACCTTCTTTCCTACATTGCTTGGTAAAGGAGTCTGTTTATGATTGTCTTGATGTTGTGTTGCAGGGTGCCAGGACTGTGGCAAGAGCAACGTCGGCCATTGTCGTAAACATGGCTCCCTGATCACGGTCCCCGACTCACACGTCCCTACTTACGCTCGACTTACGCTGCCACCTGTGCTGGTTATTAAAGTTGGTAGGTAAAGCTGTTCTTTCGGTCAGATGTCTGTTGGTGAAGCTATTACAGGAAGTAGTTGTGATACGAAATGTTTGGCGGTTGAGTAAGTGTGATCCAACAAGTAAAAAAACAATGGCCTTATAAACATGAAGTCTTTGACAGGCATTTAGAAGTTTGGAGAATAAAAGAAGTTACTATCCATAAAAAAAAGTGTCATGTATTCATACTTAAAAACATGATAGCAAAAAAGATTTGAAGCCACCATGGCCACATCAATTCTCAATTTCATTTTCTGAACCATCACTATTAGTTGTTCTAGACAATATGTTATGAAGCTGGTACACTTGCACAAAGCAATCACAGGTCTACAACAATCATATCTCCCATACTCTAACGTAGACTTACGATAGTCATAGTGCTATGATCGTTTTTGTGAAAGTGGGCCCTGATGTGTTTCCAGTTAGAAATAATTAACATTGTGTTACAAGTTCCATTTGATATGACATGATTCTAGTCAACCCGTGAAGATCCAGGGTAGAAAAGGTCTTCAGCAACCCATGCTTGCCGTAAAAGGCAACTATGCTTGTTGAAGAGGCAACTGTCGGGATCGTGTGGTTAGTCTCGCTGACTTGGTTGATGCATGTCATCGTATCCCATTAGCATGGATCAATGCTCATGATGTCAATCACTTGATTGTCTGATCCAGACTCAATTATTTACAGACTGCCATCATATAGCTAGAATATTGCTGAGTGAGACGATTAACAACAAGCAAACAAACAAACAAACTACATACACAGACCCCTTAAAACTAGCATTATCAGGAGTTGCATATGCCAAACAGATGTTATAGTCCCATGAGGACACGAAACCGTGAATACAAAATATCACCGATCCATTGCGCACAAGGGGGCAGAGCACCAAGTCGTGTCATCGCTCGCTGATATTTTGTATACACTGTCGAGTGTCAATCATGTAACTGTTTTATCCAATGGCTGACGAACATACCCCCCAGTTAGAAGGGCACATCCACAGCAAAATCTTTCTGGCATGGAATCCAATTCATAATTTCAAAATGTCTGACATGGAAGGGCCATAACTTTTTAATCAGACCCCGAATGTTGGTACCTCTTTGTGTCAACATTGTTCTACTTTGTATTTCTACTATAGATGTAATTAATAATGTTGCTTTTTCTTCTTATTTCGTTTGATGTTGTTACAATGTATTGTGGAGGGTGACACAATTATCGTCCAACTCCACCTTCATTTGGTGAGTAACCAAACAGCGATGTCCTAAAAGTGTGGTGATATGTCTGATGCAACATATGTTATATCTGAGATATCAGGACCTGTTTTCATGTATGGCATTTATCGCCATGAAAACATCAAAGGAAATTATGCCAGCTGTTGGATAATAACTAGTAATAAGAAAGAATCGTGTGTTGTTTCACTTCTTTTGAGTAGTATATAATGTCCCATGTTTTTCCGGCACATGTGTTTTGTGATCTTCAGGTAGTAAAGGGGAAGGTGTGTATGCCAAGAAATACATCAAGGCACGCACTCAGTTTGGTCCACTCAAGGCCCCATTTTGTACAGAAACCACCAAGATGGACAAGGGACGCTCAGACTTTTACCTGAAGGTATGTTGTCGTGAAAATGGCCACTCAAAGCTTACTGTTGAGTAGATACTGTGTGATATTCAAACATGTCATGTCAGCATGGTCAAGGGGGATAACTCTGATTTAATATTGTTCAAATGGACAACTTAATGGAAAGTAATGAACTGTGTTAAAATAGGTCTGTTGCTTGTCGTACAAGGCAACCAAAATGAATTCTGTTGTCTGTGACTTGGCTGATTGTGTGTCTTCGTACCACAGTGAAGTGGTCACTGGTTTGCCTGCCCAACACTCAACTTTTAACAGGACGCTTTGATTGTGTGTATATTGCAGGGATATGACAATGATGACGAGATGTGGCAGTACGACCTGAGCAGTGAGGCGGAATGTAACTGGATGATGTTTGTGCAGCCGGCCCAGACTTACACCGACCAGAACATGGCGGCCTACGTGTACGACCGCAGGGTCTACTACACAACCATCAAGGTGACAATAACACTGTTGGTGCCTTTTTCTGAAGTGAAAATGTTGATGGATTCTGTAGGCATTTGGGATAAGATAAGTCTCCAGTACGCCATGTTTCACATAAGGCTTAAAAAAAAATAAAAGAATTTGTTCTCAGGGTATGATTTTTGAAAATATAGTGCGGGTGTGTGGTGGCTTTTTGCTTGTTCAAACTAGTATGTACCCAAATAAACAGTTGTGTACCAGCAACCTGGGAAAGGGCCTCCCTACATAAACAAGCATACAAACTCCTATTGTCGCTATGACCATGACACGAGATGCGCAGTGAAGCAGAGCGCATGTAATGGGAAGAGCATGTAACTCTGTGCTATATTGGACTGCATCATTTTTAAGTATTAGAATTTTTATATATTTTTTAAAATGGAAATTAAAACGAAATGTACGGCAGACATTATGATGCTGCGTGCAGTGCCTGAGAACAAGGACTATTAATGTTTATTAGGAAGGTTTAGTGGAAGCTGATGTTCGGAAGGTGTAGTTTGGCTAGTGTTAGGAAGGTGTAGTATGGCTAGTGTCAGGAAGGTGTAGTATGGCTAGTGTTAGGAAGGTGTAGTTTGGCTAGTGTTAGAAAGGTGTAGTTTGGCTAGTGTCAGGAAGGTGTAGTATGGCTAGTGTTAGGTAGGTGTAGTATGGCTGATGTTTTGAAGGTGTAGTTTGGCTGATGTTTTGAAGGTGTAGTTTGGCTAGTGTTAAGAAGGTGTAGTGCGGCTAGTGTTAGGAAGGTGTAGTTTGGCTAGTGTCAGGAAGGTGTAGTATGGCTAGTGTTAGGTAGGTGTAGTATGGCTGATGTTTTGAAGGTGTAGTATGGCTAGTGTTAGGAAGGTGTAGTTTGGCTAGTGTCAGGAAGGTGTAGTATGGCTAGTGTTAGGAAGGTGTAGTTTGGCTAGTGTTAGGAAGGTGTAGTTTGGCTAGTGTCAGGAAGGTGTAGTATGGCTAGTGTTAGGTAGGTGTAGTATGGCTGATGTTTTGAAGGTGTAGTTTGGCTGATGTTTTGAAGGTGTAGTTTGGCTAGTGTTAGGTAGGTGTAGTTTGGCTAGTGTCAAGAAGGTGTAGTTTGGCTAGTGTTAGGTAGGTGTAGTATGGCTGATGTTTTGAAGCGTAGTTTGGCTGATGTTTTGAAGGTGATGTTTTGAAGGTTTAGTTTGGCTGATGTTTCGAAGGTGTAGTTTGGCTGATGTTTCGAAGGTGTAGTTTGGCTAGTGTTAGGAAGGTGTAGTTTGGCTGATGTTTCGAAGGTGTAGTATGGCTGATGTTTTGAAGGTGTAGTTTGGCTAGTGTTAGGAAGGTGTAGTTTGGCTGATGTTTCGAAGGTGTAGTATGGCTAGTGTTAGGAAGGTGTAGTTTGGCTAGTGTCAGGAAGGTGTAGTTTGGCTAGTGTTAGGAAGGTGTAGTTTGGCTGATGTTTTGAAGTGTAGTTTGGCTGATGTTTTGAAGGTGATGTTTTGAAGGTGTAGTTTGGCTGATGTTTCGAAGGTGTAGTATGGCTGATGTTTTGAAGGTGTAGTTTGGCTAGTGTCAGGAAGGTGTAGTTTGGCTAGTGTTAGGAAGGTGTAGTATGGCTGATGTTTTGAAGGTGATGTTTTGAAGGTGTAGTTTGGCTGATGTTTTGAAGGTGTAGTTTGGCTAGTGTTAGGAAGGTGTAGTTTGGCTGATGTTTCGAAGGTGTAGTTTGGCTAGTGTTAGGTAGGTGTAGTTTGGCTGATGTTTTGAAGGTGATGTTTTGAAGGTGTAGTTTGGCTAGTGTTAGGAAGGTGTAGTTTGGCTGATGTTTTGAAGGTGTAGTATGGCTAGTGTTAGGAAGGTGTAGTTTGGCTGATGTTTCGAAGGTGTAGTTTGGCTAGTGTTAGGAAGGTGTAGTTTGGCTAGTGTTAGGTAGGTGTAGTTTGGCTAGTGTTAGGAAGGTGTAGTATGGCTAGTGTTAGGAAGGTGTAGTTTGGCTAGTGTCAGGAAGGTGTAGTATGGCTAGTGTTGGGTAGGTGTAGTTTGGCTGATGTTTTGAAGGTGTAGTTTGGCTGATGTTTTGAAGGTGTAGTTTGGCTAGTGTCAGGAAGGTGTAGTATGGCTAGTGTTAGGAAGGTGTAGTTTGGCTAGTGTTAGGAAGGTGTAGTATGGCTGATGTTTTGAAGGTATAGTTTGGCTAGTGTTAGGAAGGTGTAGTATGGCTGATGTTTTGAAGGTGTAGTATGGCTAGTGTTAGGAAGGTGTAGTTTGGCTGATGTTTTGAAGGTGTAGTATGGCTAGTGTTAGGAAGGTGTAGTATGGCTGATGTTTTGAAGGTGTAGTATGGCTAGTGTTAGGAAGGTGTAGTTTGGCTAGTGTTAGGAAGGTGTAGTATGGCTGATGTTTTGAAGGTATAGTTTGGCTAGTGTTAGGAAGGTGTAGTATGGCTGATGTTTTGAAGGTGTAGTATGGCTAGTGTTAGGAAGGTGAAGTATGGCTGATGTTTTGAAGGTGTAGTACGGCTAGTGTCAGGAAGGTGTAGTGTGGCAAGTGTCAGGAAGGTGTAGTTTGGCTAGTGTTAGGAAGGTGTAGTATGGCTGATGTTTTGAAGGTATAGTTTGGCTAGTGTTAGGAAGGTGTAGTATGGCTGATGTTTTGAAGGTGTAGTATGGCTAGTGTTAGGAAGGTGTAGTTTGGCTGATGTTTTGAAGGTGTAGTATGGCTAGTGTAAGGAAGGTGTAGTTTGGCTGATGTTTCGAAGGTGTAGTTTGGCTAGTGTTGGGTAGGTGTAGTTTGACTGATGTTTTGAAGGTGATGTTTTGAAGGTGTAGTTTGGCTGATGTTTTGAAGGTGTAGTTTGGCTAGTGTTAGGAAGGTGTAGTATGGCTGATGTTTTGAAGGTGTAGTATGGCTAGTGTTAGGAAGGTGTAGTTTGGCTAGTGTCAGGAAGGTGTAGTTTGGCTAGTGTTAGGTAGGTGTAGTTTGGCTGATGTTTTGAAGGTGATGTTTTGAAGGTTTAGTTTGGCTGATGTTTTGAAGGTGTAGTTTGGCTGATGTTTTGAAGGTGTAGTTTGGCTAGTGTCAGGAAGGTGTAGTATGGCTAGTGTTAGGTAGGTGTAGTATGGCTGATGTTTTGAAGGTGTAGTTTGGCTGATGTTTTGAAGGTGTAGTTTGGCTGATGTTTTGAAGGTGTAGTATGGCTAGTGTTAGGAAGGTGAAGTATGGCTGATGTTTTGAAGGTGTAGTACGGCTAGTGTCAGGAAGGTGTAGTGCGGCAAGTGTCAGGAAGGTGTAGTTTGGCTAGTGTTAGGAAGGTGTAGTGCGGCTAGTGTTAGGAAGGTGTAGTTTGGCTAGTGTTAGGAAGGTGTAGTTTGGCTAGTGTTAGGAATGTGTAGTATGGCTGATGTTTTGAAGGTGATGTTTTGAAGGTGTAGTTTGGGTGATGTTTTGAAGGTGTAGATTGGCTAGTGTTAGGAAGGTGTAGTTTGGTTGATGTTTTGAAGGTGTAGTTTGGCTAGTGTTAGGAAGGTGTAGTATGGCTGATGTTTTGAAGGGGTAGTGCGGCTAGTGTTAGGAAGATGTAGTTTGGCTAGTGTTAGGAAGGTGTAGTATGGCTAGTGTAAGGTAGGTGTAGTATGGCTGATGGTTTGAAGGTGTAGTATGGCTAGTGTTAGGAAGGTTTAGTATGGGTGGTGTTCCTAAGGCGTATGTTATAAAGGTGTGTTGTTTTGCAGCCTATTGAGTATGGGAAGGAGTTGAAGGTGTGGTATGCTGCAGACTACGCCGTGAAGACAGGTATGTCTCTCTTCACCGATGTCAAGCAGGAGATGGGCCCAGACAAACAGAAGCAGGGGAAGACACATAAAGGAGGTCAGTATTTGCTGGAATCAGCAAATGTCTGGGTCAATGATTGATACTTCTTCAAGTCTTAACTTAGACTAATGACATAGTGCTAAGAATGCTTATATGTGATAAGCCTCTATCAGTCTCATTAACCCATATCTTTGCTCTGATGGGATACCACTCTGCCTGTAGAAGAAGTATTGTGTTCTGTGTGCGTTTCTTTGAAGATATAAATTCATGAAACAATGGGAAAGATATAAATTGTTTTAAAAAGCTGTAATCGGATTGGCCCAAGAACCTATGCAACCTTTAGATTAGACCTATTATAGAAACTTTGTCAGATCTTCATGCCAAGAGGTAGTAGTAATAGATTTTATTTTAGTTGGATGGGGCTTTTGTCGGTTTCTTGAAAAATGCAGCTGTGGTTGATAAGTGTTGAGTTCATATGATCATTCTTTATTGTTTGTTTGTTTTGTTTGTTTGTTGTTTAACGCTGCACTCAGCAATATTCCAGCTATATGATGGCGGTCTGTAAAATAATTGAGTCTGGACCAGACAATCCAGTGATTGACATCATGAACATCGATCCACGCAATTGGGATCGATGACATGTATCAACCAAGTCAGCGAGCCTGACCACCCAATCCCGTTAGTCGCCTTTTACGACAAGCATAGTCGCCTTTTACGGCAAGTATGGGTCTCTGAAGACCTATTCTACCTCGGAATCTTCATGGGTCAATCTGTAACCAAGCAGTCAGTTTGTTTCCTTCTCTTTTAGTACACAAACACCAACTGAGGTCCTATCAGTGTTGCATCTGTCTTGTCTATATTTTCACTGCTGTTTAAATTAGTATTATATGTCAACCTATGTATACACAGTCTAACATTATGACTTGCTTCAGATGATAACACAAGCACACCGCCGGATTTGGAGGTGGACATAGCAGACAACACTGATGATGAGTTCCAGATTGTGGAAAATGAAGGCGGCAACGGTTCCTCGGACAGCTACAGTGGAACGTACTGCATCTCGTGTGACACTCAGTTCAAGACCAAAACCCAGCTGTTCAGCCACTCCTGTACCCCCAGGAAGATGTCTAGCAAGAGGAAGCGAGGCTCTGGCTCCACCAGGCGAAAAGGCAGTCCCAGGAAGCTGGCCCTAGATGATGATGAGGATGAGGATGATGATGACGATGAGGAATATGAAGAAGAGGTCAAGGCCAAGAAGAGCAAGAAGAAGCCAGGACGGAAGTTACAAGATAAAACAAAAGCTAAATACAAGCGGAAACGGAAGGAGAGTAGTGAAAAGAAGAAATACGCAAGAACACCCAAGTTTTCTTGTTCGTATTGCCCGGAACAGTTTGCGGCAGAAGACTTTTATCGGGCACATGAAGCTTCTCACACTGGGAAGAGTGCTTACACTTGTGATGAGCCTGATTGTGGGAAGGGCTTTGTGACCAAATTCACTCATTGGAGACATATGCTGTCCCATCGTAAACCCATGAACAGAGAGTGTCCGTATTGTGATAAGGCATTCAACAGAATGGACCATCTGAAAACCCACCTCAAGACTCATGATCAGCATCGTTTTTCGTATCTATGTGACAAATGTGGAAAGTCTTACTTACATAAAAACACCTATGACTATCACATGGCTTTGCATGAAGCCAAAGAAGGCATGTCTCTTGTGTGTATAATATGTACTGCGAAGTACGAAACCAAAGACGATCTTATTAAACATACACTCACCCACAATAGGTACAAGTCCCTTGTTGATACACCCAAGAAACATGCGTGTCCAATGTGTAATAGAATGTTTGGGACGAATAAGGATGTAAAAAGACACATGGTTGTGCACACAAAAGAAAAGTGTTTTCTTTGTGAATTATGTCCCCAGACTTTTGGGAGAAAGGATCATCTACACAGGCATTATAAGACAAATCATTGTAAAGAAGCTAAGAAGGAGAAGGCAGTCGAAGGAGAACAAGTGTTCAGTTGTCAGCACTGTCCAGAGATGTTTCAGAAGAAGAAGCTGCTGACGAACCATGTCAAGTATACTCACGAACAGGACCTGAGACAACAGCTTCCAGAGGGAGATGAACATCCTCTGGCACAAGCGGCTGGTGACATCACGGAGGCAGCTGTGACATCGTCTTCCTACAACCTGTACACCCTCTCCACACCACAACTCAACACTAACAACCCTGTAGCCGTGGTTCCCAACCAGGCAGCTAAAGCATTGGAGCGCTACATTAACACCAACGTGACCACCTCCAGCACTGTGATAACACCACAGACCGTGATGGAGGTTTCTGCGCCCGTGACCTTCATCAACGGCCAGGCCAACATGCCGGTCACTGTGATGCCTCAAGGAAGGGAGTGCCCTGATCACCTTCAGCAGGTGAAGGATCGACCAGTGTTCCAGCAAGAGCAGATGGCCCCTCAGCGACAGACTCGACCAATGCCATGGTCGTTCACTGTCATAGAGGAGAGAGATGACCACAGCTATTCCACAGCACCAGCTCCTGCCTGGACTCCTAAAGTGCCGAACTTTCGTCAAGGGGGAACATCGGTTGCTGAAGTAGAGACTGCACGGTTGCTCCAGTCGGCTCAGACGTCTCATGGCTCCTTCTCAGCACCGTGCAATAATGCCACCACAATGGCTGTAGCCTGGGACACAATGACGGAGTATTTTGCTGTCCAGCCGTGCAATAACATCACAGAGGTTGTGACGTCCAACAGTATCGTACAGCAGACACAAGCCCAGCAGATCACCCAGAACATGGCTCATGTTCCCAGAAGTCATCTCCAGCAAAGTCACTCACACCATCAAGCTCAATAAAACTACCTTTGGTTAATCTTAAAGGTTAAAGGTGCTAAAACTATTTGGCTGAAGACATACTGTTAGATATTTTTTTCTAAATATTTAGAAATAGTTTACTTTGTAATTTGTCTGCAGATAATTATAGATTTTAGATCTGAGCTGAAGACGATGCTGCTTATACAATTTGGGTCAGTGTCACCATGTAATCAGATTTCCAAATATTTTGAATATTCAGTAATATTCAGTGGTTGTACAATCAGTCTTAGTGAGGTATTCCTGTGTTGCTCAGTTTGGTAATTAGTTGTCAAGTAGATGCAATGCACCAAGTAATGTCTGGCAGCATTGAGACGCTTCACACAAAAAGTGTCATCTATTACTGGCTGAAATGGGTCCAAGTTTATTAACCAAGTGTTTACACAGACAATACTGAATAATGGTCATAGCGTTTGTTGCCTTAACTGTTGGGTTGGTAGCCACCGCCACTTTCCCTATTGTCAGTGTTGATCATATTTTTAAGGAATTGACTGAACGACATTTATGCAAAATTATAGGGAAATTATAGATAGATATACAGATTAGAAATTATAAGTCAGAGAAATCACTGGATTCTGTTTATTCCTGAGAATAATGAGCTCATTCAGCGCTCATGGATTCCCCTTCGGAATCAACAGATTCCAGTGATTTCTTCAATCTTAATCAACTTCTCTCCACATCATATAGATTTATAAAGTTGTAAGTGTTTTACATCGTTCATACTTTGGTTTTGCAGTTTCCACTCAGTACAGAAAAAGGGAATAGCTCTATAAGCTTGACAAGCAGAGACAATATATTTAATAGTAACATTATTAAGGTATATACATTTTCATCATGGCAGGGTTGCCAATGTATGACATTTTACAAAGTGGTCGGTTAAGTATGTTTTTCCATGTACCATGTTACAATTTGTAGCATTGTAGTTGTACATTGTACCTTTGAACTGATAAACAGATTTTAACAGACTAATGAAGTGGGCATTATGGTCACAGGAATGAGATATAGCTGTTGTTTCACTTCTCTATTCATTGTCTTATCACAGAAAAGTTGTTTCCAAATGCTTTCCAGTGCTTTATCAGTGTGGCCAGTATCACTAGTGTAGTCTGTTACCAAAATGTCAACCACTACTTAATACACAAGACTATATTTTAAGACTTTACAATTTTATATAGTGGCAGACAAGTCGTAAGGCTGTTTTCCAATAGTTTCAGTCACTGTAAACAGACTTTATTTAACAGAAAGAGGATGTTTGGCTTTCCTTGTCAATTAACATGTTTATGCCAGGGAGTGACCTGATTAAACTGTCATTTTTTTCAGGTCATACAGCATGTACATATATACTTCTCCAAAGGGGTTAAGGACCCCCGTTTCATATTACTATACTTAACATGGAATGGCATGATATTGATTAACTATAGTAATATCAAAGAATCTTCTTTTGAGTAGTATACATGTTTGGTCATAGGATGTGAAAAAAATAAAATGTCCTATAACGAAATAAGGGTGAAATCAAAATACCCATTAACAAGTTTTGATCACAGTTGGCATTATTTTGAATGCGTGAATATTTATGGTTACGTTATAAAGTTAAATTATTGGACATTATCATCTTTATACGTTGTTTAACATGGATACTGTACACAACCCATGCTTGTCCTGATATCGGGTGGTTAGGCTCAGTGACCTGATTGATAGTAGGGATTCTGAGTCAGTACAAGCCCCCAGCAATCCATGTTTGTTGTAAGATTAGGTCGTTAGGCTCAGTGACCTGATTGATAGTGTGGATTCCGGGTCAGTACAAGCCCCCAGCAACCCATGTTTGTTGTAAGATCGGTTGGTTAGGCTCAGTGACCTGATTGATAGTGTGGATTCCCGGTCAGTACAAGCCCCCAGCAACCCATGTTTGTTGTAAGATCGGGTGGTTAGTCTCGGTGACCTGCTTGATAGTGTGTCATTGTACCCCAAGGCATGGATCATTGCTAACAATATTGACTCCTGGACTGTCTGGTCCATTGTCTGGCGATTATTTACAGGCTGACAAATAGATGGAGTGCTGCATTATCAAAGAAATGCATGGTATATAATCAGTGTTATTGTTAACTTGTTGTGATAGCGAGAGGGTGTAACAACATGGCTCTATTACAGTGACCTGTTAAAGGGGGACATGGCCCCGCCAATTTGGCACGCCCAAGTCACTCAAACACCACTGTGATTGTTAACACAAAATATATGATGTAAATTCTAGCAGCAGCTAAGTATCCTAATTACACAAGACATTGTCTACGTTTCACACAGGGCATTACTTACAAGGTCTTGACCTGGAATAGATGCTCACCATGGCCTGCAGCTTAGCCTCTCACCCTACTTACCCTACGTCAGGTGCATGTTGGGAATAGATGTTGGCTTTACAGGGGTGCTATTTACACCAAGCAACTCCACATGACGATGTTAATAAACCACATTTCTTTTCAGAGTGATACATTTACATTTTTTTTAGATATCTTGTGTTAAGATATGTTTTCTGTGAGCTATGTTATTGCTGATTTTTAAAAATATATGTTGCCATGGTTACCAAAAATTGAAATTAAAAAAACGCTGTGTCCTTTCTGTGTATGAAAGAGCTGTTGGAAGAGTTGTAATCTGTATCTGCTGACAGTTTACCAGATTAGATTCTGCAGAATATCTGACCACCGTGGTCAAGTGGACAGAGCATCTGCCAGGAGAGTAGAAAGTTGGGGATCATCCCCGACCGGGTCATACCAAGAGATGTTAAACATTTTGCTTGTTGTTATCTTGCATTAAGGAGATAAAACTAGGACTACTCAGTATAATGTATTTTTTAGTGGGGTATCCATATTCAACTGCCGCATGGTATCTCAGTGGGCTAGTATAAAACCAGCATCAGTCCGGACAAGTACACGCAGCTCCACACAAACACATTCACCCTTCCCCCCTACACACCCTGCAATAATCTTGAACTTGACCTGCCGACCCGTAGAATAGGTCTTCAGCAACCCATTCTTGCCGTAAAAGGCGACTGTGCTTGTTGTGAGAAACAACTAACGGGATCTTGTGGTGAGGTTCGCTGACTTGGATGATGCATGCCATCGTATCACAATTGCGTGGATTGATGCTCATGATGTCAATCACTGGTTTGTCTGGTCCACTCAATTATTTACAGACGCTGTCATGTAGCTGGAATATTGCTGAGTAAGGGAGGCATTAAATGACAAACAAACTTGACCTGCCAGGTGATTTTACCTCAAATTACCTGAAGAATATCTGATATTAGTTTTTGAAGGATGTGTTAGAATGAAGTAAACTTTTCAATAAACCATGCAGGGAGTGAAAGTGATAAAATTGAAGTAAAGCATTTAAAGCAAATAATGTTTGTTGGTGTCAACAGTTTTACCCTAATATTCCAAATAATTACTTGTTAGTGTATATGTTTGTTTTAAATTCTGATGTATTTATTCTGTGAGCAATATGAATCGGTACTTTATTATGTTGAACATTCAGCATACTCATGTTGTCAGCATGCATAGTTGTCAGACATTAAACATGTTAGTTTTGTTGTCTTATACGAACCTCTTCCATCAATGCATTTATTATGACTGTCTCTTGTTTTTATGAATACAATATTTGTTATTGACATTAAACTAAAAGTTATCTTCATGAAGATGCCTTTGCCTTTATTGTGGGGGCAGTGGGGTAGCCAAGTTGTTCAAGTGTTGGCTTGTCCGGCTTAATGTTCTGGTTCTATTCATGGGTACAATGTGTGAAATCCATTACTGGTGTTGAGGCGGTCAGGTAGCCTAGTGGTTAAAGCGTTCGCTCGTCACGCAGAAGACCCGGGTTCGATTCCCGACATGGGTACATGTGAAGCCCATTTCTGGTGTCCCCCGCCGTGATATTCCTGGAATATTGCTAAAAGCAGCGTAAAACCATACTCACTCGCTCAATACTGGTGTTCCGGTTGAATAATCCTGGAATATTGCTCGAGTATTGCTAAAAGATACATAAAACCCAACACATTCACTAATCTGTATTCTGGACCTGTGAAGATCCAGGGTAGAATAGGACTTCTGCAACCCATGCTTGCCATAAAAGGTGACTATGCTTGTCATGAGAGGCGACTAACGGGATGGGGGGTCAGGCTGCTGACTTGGTTGATGCATGTCATTGTATCCCAATTGCGTGGATCGATGCTCATGATGTCAATCACTGGATTGTCTGGTCCAGACTCGATTATTTACAGACTGCCGTCATATAGCTGGAATATTGCTGAGTGCAGCATTAAACAAACAAACATCTGTATTCTGAACTGTTTTTGTTAAATATTGTAGTGTTATCTTCAGGAGGTTTCCATGTATTAACTCCCAGGAGAGAGAAACCCTGTTCAGGTTACACTGCAATATTTGTCAGCCTTTTATCTTCACACAGACCTGTCGTGCTTATTTCCAGTGAATCTGTCAAATAAATGGATATATTTTATCTCTGTTTGTAAACTGACTGAAATACTTAGGCCTGTTATATATTGGATCGGTGAATCAGGCAATTTACAAATTGACTGATTTTACACATTGACTGTAGTATATTAGCCTATATCACTGTGACATGGTCGCCTCAACCGTGTGATCTAACCAAATTTGTTCTCTGGAAGAGCTGGATTTATTTAACTTTCTTCATGTTCAAGGAATGCTGTCGGTAAACGTCAGGCAATGACATCTGTAAAAACAAGCCGGCAAGATTCCTCATTGAACTTTTAACTGAAAACTATCTTTGACTGATGACCCCTGACGCTACAGATAACGAAAACCCAAACGTAGCCTAAAGACGTACACTGGGCGGAGATGACCAATGTTATGGCGGCGACAAGACATAAAGGGATTTTTAATTCATGTGGTAACGATTATAAAAAAAAATATTTATTGATCGCCATGGTAAGAACATTGTAAAAAGTCACAATTGCAATAACGCTCCATGATGTCATTTGGTACAAGAACGTTTTCATACACGCACCACTTTTTACGCAACCATGAATCGTGACGTATAACTTCTGTGACGTCATAGACAACCACGCAGTCTTGACAATGTCGTGGAGCCAGCTGGTATGAATATGCGCGAGATCACGGGCAACTCTACGTTCTAAGTGACAAAGTTCATTACAATGGATGTCATATGCGGAAAGGTCTACCCGATATTAGAATGTGTAGCCAAGAACAATGGCGTCAGCGCTCCGCTGGTTTCAAGTGTGGTGTTCGCAGGAGCGTGCTATGCTTTGAATTATCCCACCATTAGGAAAATCTTCAAGAGAAGGTTCCACAAACGTCTTCTTAAAGTTCTCCTGGTTGGACTCGGAGTGGGAGGCCTAGTCACACTTCTGGTCATGCTCACTGCAGTTCAGACGAGATGGAGCATGTGTCGTCTGCTTCGTATCTCGGGGCTTGGGAAGTCAAACCTCCAGTCCTCCATTGGATATATCGTGTGCTTCAACATGATTCTCGCATACCTGCGGTCAAAGCTGCTCAAGTTCACATACGGGAGGGTGAAAGACATGGTGGAATACTTCAGGTTTAGAAGCCGCAAGCCAGCGAAATATTTCTCGGCCCACATCAAAGTGGAGCCAAAGATCACACGGAGTGGCACCATTTATGGTTAACTGTACAGACAATGTGTATAGAAAACTGTTCGATTATTTTCAAACGTGATAAAGAACAATCATGGATATATCCTTGTTAGTAAACATTTTCAAGGATACATTATCATTGGTACACCATGATGTAATTTAGGATTTGATTGTACAAATGTAGAATAGTTTCATGATCGTTTTTTACTCTACACCTTCAAATTATATTTTGTACTGGTAGAGCTTGTCACTTTTCAGTGTTGAAGGATATCTCATGAGAAAATAGGTATTTTTTGTATATGAATGCTTTAATAATGAAGTAATACTGTTGTCAACCTCTGCCACAAGGAATCCTATTTTCCTTAAGGGGAAATGTCCATTGATATAATATAATTAAAAGTACAATTGTTAAATTTATAAAACACGTGTTGTTCTATATATTACTTTATAAACCAGATTAGTATTTTCTAGTCTTGAAAACGGACATCAAGTATGCCCAGCGTAAATTAATAAGGAAAAATGATTTTCCCCAGTATTTTATGAAACGTGTTTAAAAGAAATATCCAAACAAGATACATGGCATTCAATATATTTATTGAGCTTTGTTAGTTTCATATGGTCGTTGCCGTAATGGTGGCAATGAGAGCGCCTGAGGCGAAGTTTCCAGCCAGAAGATGTTTGCAAAGAGTCCTGGTTTTCGAGATGCCCATGGCCACTGTCTGTGCCATAAATCAGCATTGTAATAAATCGTGTGCAAAACCAGGCCGATGTCAGCAGCAGCGATGCTGATGGTGCCTCACACACACAGCTGATTCTGGCAGCTACCTCGACACATCGAGCACGGCGCGCCGTGGGTGTAGGGGTTGAAGCCCATGACGTTGCCCCTGGAAACAAACATATAAATACGGTATATGAACACACACACACGAAGATATGTGTATGCACGGATTACACTCCTGATCAAAATAATTTGAACAAACAAAACTGATCAACACTCATACACCTAGATATCCTAAAAGAGGAACTATCCAAAATACCAAAAAATAAACACAAATAGGTATATACATTAAGAAATAATATAAAAATAATTAAACGAAACTGATGAACAAATGAAATATATAAAAAAATATCCAGCTATTATATTTGGAAACAAACTTAAAAAAAATATCGACTTCAACCAACTTGATTAAAATCATTTAGAAAAAAATCTCCAAATATAAAAAATATTCCAAGGGGTCATTTACATTTACAGTCATTGCGTCAGGGTCTGTCTGGACAATACTCGATTATTTACAACCCGATGTCATAAATCCTGGAATAATGCGGCTTAAACAACAAACGAACAAGCCTTTGCGAGAGCAAGTGACAGCAACTCACGGCGGAGAGTAGAAGCAGGCAAGGAGATACATATCGGGGCAGCGTTTGGCGGCACATCCCACGTTCGTCGTGCTGGACCAGATCATCTGTAAAGAAAGTAGCATACAGTCATACTCATGCATGTGTATGGTTTATTTGCAAATTGTCTTACTTACTGGACAAGGAATATATGTCCATATTGTAAGCACGTATGATTTATGAGGTTAAATGCGCTTCCATTTGATTTCGTCTCATAATTACACAAACAATGGGGTTTCCACTCAAATTTAGCCAGCGATTTTCTAATGCTACTCCATGTTTGTAGTACATTCTCCCAGATGTTTGGAGCACATTCTCCCGGAAACACTTAATTCCCATTCAACCCGTGAATATCCTGGGTAGAATAGGTCTTCAGCAACCCATGCTTGCTGTAAAAGCCGACTGACTATGCTTGTCGCAAGAGGCGACTAACGGGATCGGGTGGACAGGCTCGCTGACTTGGTTGATACATGTCATCGTATCCCAATTGCGTGGATCGATGCTCATGATGTCAATCACTGGATCGTCTGATTCACACTCGATTATTTACAGACCGCCCTCCTATAGCTGGAATATTGCTGAGTGCGGTGTTAAACAACAAACCAACCAACCTTTTTGTCTTTATTTCAGCACAGGCCTCATTTCACCAATCAAGGAACATATATTATTTTGCCGGAAAATTTATTTTCATATTTCATCAGGATATAAGTATTGCATTGACTCCCTGGTCGCAGTCGACATCAATCCTCTTCCCTCACTACCTAACACTTACCATGACAGTTGGTAGCCCAGTGGGGAGAACGATCGCTCGATAAGTCGGATACAGGGTTCTATTCTCAAACTGGCTGCCTTGCGCAGTACGAGCTTGTCCCAGTTGATACACACCATATCCAATCGTAAATACTTTACAATACACAAGAAATATGTCGTTGTCAGAAGTTCTTGTGACCCACCTGTGTATAGTGGCCAGTGGCAGCCGAGAACTCGTCCCCGTGTCGCCAGCTGTTTTTCTCGTTGTACCAGCCGTTGATGCCGTAGTCGACGAGGCTGTCGATGTTCATGAGTGACCCTCCTACCATGGCGAGGTTCTCCCCCCGTCCTCCTTGTTGGTGCTCCATCACACAGCGCTGTATCCACGAGTTTGCCTCACTCGCCAACTGCTTGTCCCACCGCTGAAGTCATCATCAATATTATTCTCGTTTCCACCACCATTGTAAAAACCATCATCATCATCATCGATATTATTCTCGTCTTCACCATCATGATTACAAACACCATCGACATTATCGTCTTTATCACCAATATAAAGAACATACTTAATATCCTTATCTTTGTAATCAATAGTATCACCGTCTCCATCAGCAGCTTCATCACCATTGAAAGATCATAATCATCATCAGCATCTAACTAAACTCCTCCACCCTCCACCTAATTATCAGCATCAGTATCATTATTGTCTTAATCGCCGAGAACATAGTCAAACACAATCATCATCATCATCATCATATTTGGTATCTTACAACTTTATAAGCTTCATCAAATGGCAATCTGAACGTCGTCATCAATATTCAATGAAGGTTTCTACACTTTCAAAGATATAACGATATTCTAACTTTCATATTACACTGTGTGTGCACTAAGCCATCTCTTTTCGACTGTCACTGTGTGTCGACCAAAACACACGAAAGAGAACGAATATGACCGAAGTGTCCCGTATCTCTGTTGAACAATGTGCCGTGCCATGATCTGCTTTCTACTGACAAGCACTTCACAAAGATAAGATCCTGTTTTTTAAGTAATCGGTTTGTGTCATGGGGCACTTCAGCCGTGATCGTCTAGAGGTTAGGACTTTGCGTTGTGGCCGCAAGAACCCCGGTTCGAATCCGGGTCACGGCATGTGTCTCTATGTTTTTGAAGTGACTGTCGTATTTCAACAAAAATAATGTTTGATAAATATACGAATTTCTCTTTCGTTTGATGAAATACTATTATTTTCATTTGAATGTGCTTATGAATTAGACAAAATCCGGTTCAATTTTAACCGCTTTACGCGTAAAGGGGTGCGTGTCAAAAGCTCGTATGTCTCATATCCTTATATGGCATCATGGTATACTGAGTCATGCTTCAGTTCACGAAAAAGTACCTTTTGTTGAAATGAGACGATACTTTTCATCTCCACTTGATAACCCCACTAATGTAATGCTGCGGTTATGGTCCCACATCGACAGACCAAAAATATCACAATCGTAAGTCCCCGTGAAGATCCTGGTTACAACAGTTCTTCAGCAACCCATGCTTGTCGTTAGAGGCGACTAACGGGATCGGGTGGTCAGGCTCGCAGACTTGGTTGATGCATGTCATCGTATCCCTAATGCGTTGATCGATGCTCATGATGACGATCACTGGGTTGTCTGGTCCAGACTCGATTATTTACAGACCGCCGTCATGTAGCTGGACTATTGCTGAGTGCAGCGTCAAACAACAAACAAACAAAACCGTCTTCATCAGCAGCTTCATCACCATTATAAGATCATCAACATCAGCATCATATTCCTAAATAATCTCCACCACCCTCCACCTAACTATCAACATCAATATTATTATCGTTCTAATCGCCAAGAACCTAATCAAACAGTCATCGTCATCATCATCATCAGCAGCATCATCATCATCTATTTAACTGACATCTTATACCACTTCTCAAATGACAAGCTGAACGTCGTCATCAATATTCAATGAAGGTTTCTACACTTTAACGATATTTTAAATTTCATATTACACTGTGTGTGCACTAAGCCATCTCTCATCGACTGTCACTGTGTGTCGACAAAAACACGGAAGAGAACGAATATGACTGAAGTGTACGGTTTCTCTGTTGAACAATGTGCCGTGCCATGATCTGCTTTCTACTGACAAGCACTTCACAAAGATAAGATCCTGTTGTTGAAGTTATCGGCTTTTGTTATGGGGCACTTCAGCCGTGATCGTCTAGTGGTTAGGACTTTGCGTTGTGGCCGCAAGAACCCCGGTTCGAATCCGGGTCACGGCATGTGTCTCTATGTTTTTGAGGTCGTATTTCAACAAAAATAATGTTTGATGAATATACGAATTTCTTTTACGTTTGATGAAATACAATTATTTTTGAACGTACTTATGAATTAGACGAAATTTTGTTCAATTTAAACCACTTTACGCGTAAAGGGGTGCGTGTCAAAAGCCTTTATGTATCATATCCTCATATGGTATCATGCTTCAGTTCACGAAAAAGTACCTTTTGTTGAAATGAGACGATACTTTTCATCTCCACTTGATAACCCCACTAATGTAATGGAATATACGAATTTCTCTTTCGTTTGATGAAATACTATTATTTTCATTTGAATGTGCTTATGAATTAGACAAAATCCGGTTCAATTTAAACCACTTTAGGCGGAAAGGAGTGAGTGTTAAAAGCTCGTATGTCTCATATCCTTATATGGCATCATGGTATACTGAGTCATGCTTCAGTTCACGAAAAAGTACCTTTGGTTGAAATGAGACGACACTTTTGATCTTCACTCAATAATCCCACTAATTTAAATGTGCGGTTATGCTCCCACATCGACAGAGCAACAATATCACAATCGTAAGTCCCCGTGAAGATCCTGGTTAGAATAGGTCTTCAGCAACCCATGCTTGCCGTAAGAGGCGACAAACGGGATCGGGTGGTCAGGCTCGCTGACTTGGTTGATGCATGTCATCGTATCCCTATTGCGTGGATCGATGCTCATGATGACGGTCATTGGGTTGTCTGGTCCAGACTCGATTATTTACAGACCGCCGTCATGTAGCTGGACTATTGCTGGGTGCAGCGTCAAACAACAAACAAACAAAACCGTCTCCATCAGCAGCTTCATCACCATTGTAAGATCATCGTCAGCAGCATCATATACATAAATAATCTCCTACACCCTCCACCTAACCACAGCATCAATATTATTATCGTCTTAATCGCCGAGAACATAATCAAACAGTCATCGTCATCATCATCATCTATTTAATTGACATCTTACCACTTCAACGACTTCTCAAATGACAAGCTGAACGTCGTCATCAATATTCAGTGAAGGTTTCTACACTTTAACGTTATTTTAAATTTCATATTACACTGTGTGCGCACTAAGCCATCCCTCATCGATTGTCACTGTGTGTCGACAAAAACACGGAAGAGAACGAATATGACCGAAGTGTACGGTTTCTCTGTTGAACAATGAACCGTGCCATGACCTGTTTTCTGCTGACAAGCACTTCACAAAGATAAGATCCTGTTGTTGAAGTAATCGGTCTTTGTCATGGGGCACTTCAGCCGTGATCGTCTAGTGGTTAGGACTTTGCGTTGTGGCCGCAAGAACCCCGGTTCGAATCCGGGTCACGGCATGTGTCTCTATGTTTTTGAAGTGACTGTCGTATTTCAACAAAAATAATGTTTGATAAATATACGAATTTCTCTTTCGTTTGATGAAATACTATTATTTTCATTTGAATGTGCTTATGAATTAGACAAAATCCGGTTCAATTTTAACCGCTTTACGCGTAAAGGGGTGCGTGTCAAAAGCTCGTATGTCTCATATCCTTATATGGCATCATGGTATACTGAGTCATGCTTCAGTTCACGAAAAAGTACCTTTTGTTGAAATGAGACGATACTTTTCATCTCCACTTGATAACCCCACTAATGTAATGCTGCGGTTATGGTCCCACATCGACAGACCAAAAATATCACAATCGTAAGTCCCCGTGAAGATCCTGGTTACAACAGTTCTTCAGCAACCCATGCTTGTCGTTAGAGGCGACTAACGGGATCGGGTGGTCAGGCTCGCAGACTTGGTTGATGCATGTCATCGTATCCCTAATGCGTTGATCGATGCTCATGATGACGATCACTGGGTTGTCTGGTCCAGACTCGATTATTTACAGACCGCCGTCATGTAGCTGGACTATTGCTGAGTGCAGCGTCAAACAACAAACAAACAAAACCGTCTTCATCAGCAGCTTCATCACCATTATAAGATCATCAACATCAGCATCATATTCCTAAATAATCTCCACCACCCTCCACCTAACTATCAACATCAATATTATTATCGTTCTAATCGCCAAGAACCTAATCAAACAGTCATCGTCATCATCATCATCAGCAGCATCATCATCATCTATTTAACTGACATCTTATATCACTTCTCAAATGACAAGCTGAACGTCGTCATCAATATTCAATGAAGGTTTCTACACTTTAACGATATTTTAAATTTCATATTACACTGTGTGTGCACTAAGCCATCTCTCATCGACTGTCACTGTGTGTCGACAAAAACACGGAAGAGAACGAATATGACTGAAGTGTACGGTTTCTCTGTTGAACAATGTGCCGTGCCATGATCTGCTTTCTACTGACAAGCACTTCACAAAGATAAGATCCTGTTGTTGAAGTTATCGGCTTTTGTTATGGGGCACTTCAGCCGTGATCGTCTAGTGGTTAGGACTTTGCGTTGTGGCCGCAAGAACCCCGGTTCGAATCCGGGTCACGGCATGTGTCTCTATGTTTTTGAGGTCGTATTTCAACAAAAATAATGTTTGATGAATATACGAATTTCTTTTACGTTTGATGAAATACAATTATTTTTGAACGTACTTATGAATTAGACGAAATTTTGTTCAATTTAAACCACTTTACGCGTAAAGGGGTGCGTGTCAAAAGCCTTTATGTATCATATCCTCATATGGTATCATGCTTCAGTTCACGAAAAAGTACCTTTTGTTGAAATGAGACGATACTTTTCATCTCCACTTGATAACCCCACTAATGTAATGGAATATACGAATTTCTCTTTCGTTTGATGAAATACTATTATTTTCATTTGAATGTGCTTATGAATTAGACAAAATCCGGTTCAATTTAAACCACTTTAGGCGGAAAGGAGTGAGTGTTAAAAGCTCGTATGTCTCATATCCTTATATGGCATCATGGTATACTGAGTCATGCTTCAGTTAACGAAAAAGTACCTTTGGTTGAAATGAGACGACACTTTTGATCTTCACTCAATAATCCCACTAATTTAAATGTGCGGTTATGCTCCCACATCGACAGAGCAACAATATCACAATCGTAAGTCCCCGTGAAGATCCTGGTTAG